AATTCTGTTTTCATTCATTAAACTCTTTAACCAGCTGAGAGCAATCCTTGTTTTCTGTGATGAGTGGGTCAAGTGGCGTCACAACAGATGACCAACCAAAAGTTTTAAAAAAAGGAAATTAGGTCAAATGTAAATGATATAAGTTGAGAAAGCATTACAGAACAATGAAATATGAACAGGTGCAAGCATTTACAAGCATTAAAGGGCAAAACTGATCTTACCATAGAAGTGAAAACACTCTCAGCTGCACGTTCCTCTACAGATGATCCCACTGGTGTCAGCAAACTGGAATGATATAGGCTCTAAAATGATATCAAATGGTAATAGTTCTTGGAACATTTAACGTGATATACTGTGCCTTAAAAAAGGCACAGGGAATTACAGCAAATGATGATGAGACATTTTCATGGAATATCTGCAGATTCACTTTGACCAGTGCAAAGGTAAAATGAGTAAAGATCACAAAGATGTGTTTAATAGAATGACTGAATAATTACAGAATAATGCAACTGAATGAGAGTGAACCAGTGAGCAGTCTTACAGCTGGACTGTGAGGTGGGCAATGGGAAAAGGCTACCTGAATAATTGGGTGAACCTGCACTGAGGTACACCAAACACACACAGAGAAACAGATGATGTCATTGTAAGAACACCAGACTCCCACACACTTAAACAAAGATGATTAAAAAGGTTTTTCTTTTGCGCGTTAGCTGATAATTGTAATTTTTAGCAAACTAGTTTTCATAATTTCCTCTCCCTCTTTTGCCTTTTTACAAGTCCACAGAATAAGAAAAAAGACATTTTCCATTAAGTGTAAAGACTTCCAGACTTAAAGATACTGATGTTTAATTGAATGCTGATCAATTCTGAAACAGTTAATAGGCAATAGCGATGTGTAGGGTTATTAAAAAGTCCAGCATACGCTTGGACTTTATTTTGTCTTTTTTTAAGTGAATACGTCTGCCCAAGACTAGTTTATAGTCAAGTTAAAAAAAAATTCACACAACAACACCTGCCCTCACAATGTGTGCGTAAGACCTGCAGAACACTTTTTAATATGTCATAAATAATCGTAGCATTCTTTATTGTAACTCTTAACATTCAGAGCTATTTCTTGAAAAGGGGATTCCCCATACAGAATAGGTCTGGGAACCACTGTGCTATAAGAATGGAGTAGGAGTGTGAATCGTCACAGGCTTATCTGAGTGTTGTAAAGTAGCAGTTGTGTGGTTTCTGTGTAGGCTGACATGAGGCTGTCTCTTTCCTTACTGAGAACAATCATGAGATGTAGATTACACAGAAAGAAACTCAATCTCAGAATAGGATTTTCTATATTATTTTAAAAAGGAAAATGATAGAGATAGTTGTTAAAGTTATATTTAAGATATTTATAGTTAGATATTATTAGGATGAGGGATTTGTAAAGTTCAATCAAATTGATTTATTTAGAGGGACTCAAACATTTAGAAGTCATAACATACAATATGAATCCTAAAATATCATAGTCTCAGTCATACTGTACAGCCACCTTCAGGGATGTAAGGTAACTACAGTACAATTGCCAATGGCAATTTAAAAGCAAAGCTGACTATTTATTAGACATTATAATATACAGTATGTCTCTCCATCACCCTCACAAAGGCTAATACAAGACAATTTGCACGGTTTGCAAGGTTTAAGTAGCTTGACACATTGGTTACTTGTATTGTCTTTCTATAAAGTAAAACATAATATTGTTTTTAGAAAGCATCTTTATTCTTCAGTCTTCTAAGCTAATGTAATGACTTGTAATAGCAAAACTCAAACAATTTGGTCAGACTTCATTTGCAAAATTATTTTAAGACCAAGAAAATGAAGTCCAGTATTTGTCATTCATCACTGTAAATATAGATGAGGGGTTTCAAAATGCCTGACCATCTCCTGTGTTCATTGTAAAAGGGTGTGGCCTTCAACACCATGAGGTCATCAAAGCCCAAATGCCTTTACAGAAATATTAGAAGGTATATACAGATGTATATTTTATAATACATAAACACATAAATGTCTTGTAACGACTAAATAACAATTTGTTCTCAACTGATTGGGGACCAGTTTATAAATGAAGGTTTCATTAATTTGTGAGACAATTGCTGTAAGAGGCATCTGAACAGTTAAGAAGTGAAAAAGAGTAATGTTTTGCAAGTTACTGTTGAATTGATGCCAGTTCGGTAATAACCTGCTAATTTGTGTGAACCTTGGTTATATAATTTAATCACAAAAGCTGGGATTTACAGAAACTACTGTGTACATATATCCTGTGTACACAGACTTTCATCTGTGTTCTCTGCTGAGTTTTTACAATGACCTTTTCACATTTCACACCTCCGAGATTGGGTGGAGTTTCTAGCCCCAAAACAACAGTGTTTGCTTTGCACTTCTACAAACAGGTTCCACCCAGGTTTCTCTGAGGGTGACAAGAGAAAAAAGTATTATTGTTTCACCATTTTTAGTTGTTTCACTTCGCAATTCTCGCAGACTCTCGACAGCAGGGTGACTAACAATACCTTCACAAAGTTCACGATTTTGTGCTTAATTCGGATTTTGTGAACTGAGCGTTGGGATGTTGTGTTTTTCCCATCAGTCTGCACCGTGTGGCTGGTATCGGGATTCCGAATTAGGAGGAGATACAATATCCATCACTGTGGTTGTAGATATTTTTCACTTATGTGAAAAATGTAATATTTATCCTTCAGCATTCCTGAGGTGTTATAGAATGTGCAGGACCCTCGAGAAACAATATGGATGGATGGTTTGATTAAAAAAAGAGCTTTTTAAAATGATTAAATAAAACAAGAACACAAATATACTCTGGTTAAAATACTTGTTTATATTAGCATATCACTCCTAGGACTGGAGAACCACTGCTGGAAAGCAACAGTGATTTCTCTAATTAAATCAGTTCATATTCACGTTGTATTTCAATAACCTAGAAGGTAAGAACAGAAGTCGTTTGGGCCCATTTAGGTCATTTGGTCGCGATTAGTAGCTTAACATTGTAAGTATTCTACTTATCCCACTATATTTGGGATGGTTAATTAGATTAAATGAAAAATTGCAACAGAAAAAATGGACTAATACCGTGTCATAGGCATTTACCTACACGACAACCACACCAGTTGTGGAGATTTGTCGGACGTCTTCCTGCGAAGCACATATTCAGGAGGGGAATTTTGAAAATAAAAAAGCGTTTCATTTTTGGCAACTCACCCGTTTCACAGATACGGTTCTTGAGTTGTGTATTCACTGCAGACCAAAAATCAGGTCCTCAGCTGCACTCTGGGGTGTGATTCTGATCAGCACTCTGCGAGTCATTTCTCGTGACACAGCTGTAGCTCGTGGCTCCCGCTGTCTGGTGCTGACCACATCCTCCTACGTTTTGATAGATCGATTGCTTCTGCACTTTCACAAACTGCAGCCCCAGTGGAAGAAACTCACCGATGAAATCTGTGAAATATCTCGATCCTTAAAATGCCCGAAGTTAAACACGAAAGGAGGCCGATGGCTCTCTGACGTTTCTCTCCTTAAATCTACAGGTGTACACCAGCCCTCTGCATAAAGAATGCCCCCTTGCTCGTACATAATCGTTATTCTCTTGTGTCTGCGGACCTGAGTACTCAACTTCTCTTTGAACAACGTCCCGAGGTGGTTAACAAACAAGGAAACACACAGAAAGGCACCTTCAACATAAAGATAAAATATTCATAAAAAGAATAAAGCATAAATGAAGCCCATTACTGTAATGAAAAATATAATATAACATTCCTAACATTTATAAAGGACAGCATAACTAAACAATAAAATCATCTAAATGGAAAGACTGGATTAGAAAAATAGGATAGAGATTTAATCTCGCATATTGGAAAAGAATCCCAAAGATTCTTTCTTTCCCCAACTTGCTCTCCATGAGCCACACAGACAGGGAAAGAAGAGCAGACCTGTGTCAGCAGACCTTAGGTAACATATGAGAGAAAGTGGCTGTGTTGCAAGTCCATTTAGAGCCCTAGATTTCAACGGCAAGGTTATAAAGCCAACATTAAACTTTACAAGGCAGCCAGTGAAGAGGTGCTAAGACAGGAGTTATTTAATCACATGACCTGGACCCAAATATAGCAATATACAGTACTTCAACCTACTACTAAACGCCAGAAAACCAGGCATATGATGCTACAGTATGTGACGATAGCATGTGACAATGAAAAGTACTGTAGCCCCACTTCCTCATGGCACTGAACTGCTTCTTGACCTTTAACCCATTACCTTAGCCAGTCTTATTCCTTCCTCTGCCTTAAATAGCTTGCCTTAAATACCAGCAAACCTGGCAATTGTGTCAGGTTAGAGGTCAAGGAGAAGTCCAACACCAGAGGGGCAAGATTACTACAGCATACAGCAGCTATATCAGCCTGCAACTCACAGCTGGCAGCCCACTGAAGGTGTGAGCCTGGCCAGTACCTGGAAGGAGACCTCCTGGGAAAGCTAAGATTGCTGCTGGAAGAGGTGTTACTGGGGCCAGTAGGGGGCGCTCACCCTGCGGTTTGTGTGGATCCTAATGCCCCAGTATAGTAATGGGGGATACTATACTGTAAAAAGGCGCCGTCCTTCAGGTGATAGATAAAACCAAGGTCCCGACTCTCTGTGGTCATTAAAAATCTCAGAGCACTTTTCAAAAACAGTAGGGGTATAACCCTGGTGTCCTGGCCAAATCTATGAACTGGCTCTGTTCTCCTCCCCACTGAGAGCTGGTGTATGGTGAGCGTACTGGTGCATCATCCAAGTGGGGCTGCACACTGGTGGTGGTGGTGGAGGGGAGTCCCCATTACCTCTAAAGCACTTTGAGTGGAGTGTCCAGAAGCGCACTGTATAAGCGTAACAATAAGGATTATTGTAAGAGTATGAATATAAGTCCATTATCAGTGTCTTCCATTAGTTTGTTGTAGTTTAATTTCTTTCCTATTCTCTTTCAGGACCCTGTAAGGATCCACTTGTCTCTCCACTCTACGCCTCCTCCTTCTTGGCATCATCCAGATATAATTTTTTATATTCTCCTAATTTTGCAAGGTTATACGGTAAGGAGTTGGAATTGTCCATGTCTTAGCCATGACCTGTCTTTCTCTTTGTTATTTTTAATCTTGCTAACCTGATGGCGTTTTCTTCCTTCTGCATTGGATGCAGTCTGATTCCGTGGAGTACTGTGCTCATATACTGTACATTAACAGGTATTGAGCTCATTGGTACTAGGCCGTATCGTATCAGAATTCAGCACCGTGTCTCTGGGGGGAATGGAGAAATAGGAGATAGAAATAGATTGAGGCTCACGCTATTGAGGCACCCATAGTGTAGGTCGGGCTCTTTAGTCTTTGGTGATCCCTGGTTCAAATCTGGGTTACCTCGCTAGCTGTCTGTGACTGGGTGTGCCCAGGTGCTGAAGCACCACTGTGTCTTGGTTGATGTTTAACCCTTCAGGATGTCCTGAACCAGCTGCACAACAGTCACCTGGTTGTCAGACAACTGTGGTTTTGTCAGTGAGAACTACATCTGTCCTCCCTCAGGTACCTCAAGTCAGCTGTCAGCACTGGAAGCTCACAAAGCATACAATAAGAGAAGGAGAAGACTGTGCGTTTTCCTCAGAATGCTCGCATGTTGTTTTCATGTTTCTTGCACTTAGCATGAGACTCTTTTATACCTGGGAGTCATTAATAAGATGCAATTCCAAATGAGGGAGCTTATAAGGAAAAGGAACTGCTGATTCTAAATTGAAACATTTCAGGAGAGCAGTGGTGGGGCTTCAGCTGACAGTTCACTGTCTCCAAACCTTGCGTTCTGTGTGGGATTGTTGCAGGGAGCAGTGGCTGGTCTCCAGCCCCCAGAGATCGTCAGCCTTGGCTCCAGATCAACCTGAATCATAAGTACAGAATCACTGGCATCTCCACCCAGGGCACCTTCAACTCCTACGACTGGGTGACGAAGTACACCTTGCTGTATGGGGACCGGCCCGATGCCTGGACACCATACATCCAGAGAGGGGGAAACTCGGTGAGTACAGGGAAGGGGAGCTGGGCTCCTTGTGTGGCCTGGGGCAGTCGTACACACACTCGAAGCATTCGGCAGGGTTTGCAGGAGAATTGTTAATGGCATCCAAAGGCTGGCCATTAGGTTCTGTTAATACTATCTGGGCAAAACCAAATACCTGACATGCAGTAGACCCAAAACAGTTTTCTGAACTCAGCTATACAACAATCTGTTAGAACAGCACATCGTTTTCCAGTTGTAGAATGAGGTTGAAAGCTTTTTGGCTCAAAGTCTGATCCTGCATGGGTAGTCGCTGTGTTTTATTTCAAAACGAAGCATAAACTCCGAAATTCTAATCGCAAGCGAACAAGTAAATGTAAATGCACGTCACACCTGGAGAAATGTTATTTTTTCTCTCTGCCTTCCGGCGTGGAAGTAACATCTACTCATACCTTTTCCGCCACCAACACACGCCGAGGCGCCCGAGCTCCTTGTTTTAAAGACTATTCTGACCTGAAAAACAAAAAGCAAAAAAAGCCTTAGGCACCACCACTCTTTAGAAATAAGAGGACTGTTGTGTAATCTAATTATTATGATTAAGAATGCAATGCTGTCTGCTTTGTCAGACATTTTCAGGGAACTGGAACTATTACCAGGTGAAGAGGCACAACTTTCACCATGCTATCACTGCCAAGCATCTGCGCTTCCTGCCTCTGGGGTGGAACCCTGCAGGCAAGATTGGGGTTAGGCTGGAGGTCTATGGCTGTTCCTATGGTGAGTTGCTCTTTGTACACTCTTCTGTTTCTCACAGGCAAGCCCAATCATTCTGAGAACCCAAAGCTCTTAGTGGGTAGCCGACAGCAGAATCCACACCCCTCTGATTAACCTTTTCTCACGACGCCGTGGCTTCATTCCCAGAATGAATCACCAGTGGCCACAATTTGAAACCACTGAGAGGTTTTACTTACATGCAGATGGGGAGAATGTAAGCCAGGCACTTTCCTCTCCCCCCACCAGACCTCACTGGGTGTTGTATCAGCCCTTGATGAAATACACTTTGTAAATGGCTGTGCAAAAAAGTGAGTGGTCACAGGGATAGAGATGATGGTACATTTATGCCAACCTCAGCTTTGTTAATGATGTGCGTGCATATAGAAATATACCTACTCAAGAGTACAAAACAGACCATGCATGTGTTACTGTAGGGTCTCAAATTCAGTTCCTGGAAGTCAGAAGGACTTCTCATTCTTGTTAAAACCTGGCTTTCCCTGGTCAAACTTTTAGGAGCCTCCTCCAAATGACATGTTAGACTTGGCAAATGACAGGAACAGGCTTGGTCCGGACGTGGATTGTTGTTGCCATAGGTGCAGTGGAGGTGATAGCAGAAGCAATGGTACCTGGGATTGAACTGCATGCTCCGCTAGTTTGGAAGGTTTTCAATCCGATTGAGATCCGAATCTTGTTCTGGCCAGGAAGGTGACACTCCTTGAGACAACCATTCACTGCGGATCACTAAGAGAGTGTATCCATTTGCCTGGGGCAAGGACTAAAGGAGAGGGGAGAGGCTAAAGGACTCTCCATGGTCATTAAAAAATCCCAGAGTGTTGCTGAAAAAGAGAAGGGGGGTTAATTCCGGTTTAAATGGCCAATTTTTTCCCTGGCCTTTACCAATCATGGCCTCCTATAACGCCCTTCTTTGAATTGGCTTCATTACTCTGTTCTCTCGAGTAATAGCTGATGTGTGGTGAGTGTATTGGTGCACTTCGACTGCTGTTGCATCATCCAGGTGGTGCCACACATTGGCAGTGGTGGAGGGGAGTAGTATTATTACTACTACTTGGAGTACAGGTTACAGGCAATGGGGTGTGCTGTGCATGACCCTTTACCTGGATGTGTCCCTTGGCTTTTCCAGACTCCTACGTTATGGCTTATGACGGAGATGACATGGTGTCCTACAAATTTCCACGGAGGACTAACAGGACCCTAAGGGACCACATCGCTCTGAACTTCAAAACCCTGGAGCGCGAAGGGCTGCTTCTGCACAGTGAGGGGTCTCAGGGGGACGTCTTCACCCTGGAGCTGAAGAATGCCCGGCTCTACCTGCACATCAGCCTGGGTCAGTAGCTCTCGTCCAATTACCAAAGGCATTCAAACGAGATAAACATTTATCCTCCCTTAACTCAGAGCAGGTCAAGACACAATCACTGCTGTGTATTGCCATGGCCTTGTTCACAGTGCAGGGCCTGAAGCAGATGTTCATACAAAAGACTCATGACTATAGAACTGGCATTGGAGTGTTGAACGAAAACTGGTCTGTCCCTGGCGGTTGATTTTCTATTGTGGGGCTTGGTATATAGAGTCATAATCACTGAAATTGCCTTGAGTCTTTTCAGTAATAACTCCCCATTTTAAATGAAAAAGAGGCAGTCACTGTAACAATGCGGGCTTGAAGGAGGCGTGGCGCATGCCAGACGAAGACGATGTCCCGTTTGAGGGGGCAGAGGCACTGGCGTGAGGTCAGCTTGGAAGGTTTAAAAAAGAAAAACGAAAAAAAAACTCCACTTTACAGCGAGGTCCAGGCCAAAAACCGAGAAAAAAAAAAAGTTGCTTTTGACAGCGGGGCCCAGACTGGGCAGGGGAAAGAATGGGCCACTTGAAAACGGCATCCAGACTGAACCGAACAGGAAAGGGGCTTCACAGGCGGACATCACTGCCATCAAGCGCTGCACTCTCGCGCGAGGCGGAGACACAGTGACACTGGGATTCGCCAAGGGGGGACTAGTGGTGTTTAGAAAAACAAATACTCCGCTGTGTCGCAGTCACCTATCCCCGATGTGGATTTCAAGTGAGTTTTTCTCTGCAGGGAACAGCACCGTCCACGGGATATCAGGACTGACCACTCTGACTGTGGGAAACCTGCTGGACGACCAGCACTGGCACTACGTCACAGTGAAACGTTATGGTCGCCACGTCAACCTGACAGTAGACAGCCACACGGAGAGCGCCCTGACGTATGGGGACTTCGCTTACCTTGACCTGGACACTCAGGTAGGGCACCACCAGCCGCCAGAATGCTGTCAATCAGGCGGGCTTTCTGTGCTACACTGTGGCGAAGACCAGAGGTGCAGCAAAACATGAGCATGCCATGCACATTTAAGGGACACTAGAAAGCTTAAAGGTGGGAGATCACTATTACCTCAGTGTATTCTGGTACTGGGCATTATTATTGTCATGGCTTCGTTGACCCAAATAGAACAGATCCTGCTGTGGCAAAACCACCATGACTTTGGCATCAGATGGGAAAACCAGAGGCTCAGCCATTTCCTGCCCAGGGTTGTGAGGTTACTATTTACTCATTTAGGCAAAGCTCGTCTGCAGTAATTTGGATAGCACTCATTGAACAAGCTGTTGCTTGTTCTGTCCTGCACTTTCTTTGCAAACAAAAGCCAACGACCTGATTCTCAGATCTAGGATCAGCAGAGCTGGTTTGAAGAGGTTTCAAGTGAGCTCTCATTAACGCTTTTTCGTATTTGTTTAGGTTACATTTTGCTACATGAGTGCATTACATTGAAATGCATTAAGCGCTTTTTTAGAGGATCAGACCTTGCACAGAAAATCGGTAATACGTGCTAAGCAGAGCTGTATGTCCTCGGCCCCCAGGTGTACGTGGGAGGAGTAATAGAGCCTAATCAGCCACATTTGCCAAACACACCCAACTTCCGAGGCTGCCTGGAGAACGTCTTCTACAACGGGATCAACATCATTGACCTGGCCCAGAGGAGGATGCCACAGATACGGTTCCCTCATCGGCAGGTGGAGCATTTAGCATACAGTACAGTAAAACAGACCCACCTGCATCAGTAGACTGCAATATTTCCCTGTCTGTGTCTTATTTACTAACAAAATGTACCTTTCATGGATAGGACTTGCAACAAGATTCTAGAGAGGCAGAATGAGGTCAGTAGGCTTGCAGGTCTGTCTCTAGCCTTGCAGCCAGGGTGAAATTAACCTTCTTACACCGAGCTGCAATGAATCCATGGCTGTTTCCTTTCCCCCCTCTTAGAAAACGATCCGCTACGCCTGTCAGGACATCCTGCTGAAGCCCGTAACATTCGCAGGGATCAACAACTACCTCCAGGTTCCCGGGTTATACAGAAAGAGCCGAATGGCTGTCAAGTTCAAGTTCCGGTCCTGGGACTTCACTGGCCTGCTCATGTACACCAGATTTGCAGACAACCTCGGCTCCCTGGAGCTGGGCCTGAGTGAAGGCCAGGTCAACATCACTCTGATGCAGCCTGGGGTCAAGCAGCTGAAATTTGCTGCAGGTACCTCTCACCTGTCTCATTCGTAGAGAATCCTGATCAATGTCTATGCTTTCATCCTTCTCAGAGCTGCAGCAAAACCCCAGACACGCAATTAGTCATTTCACTGATCATTCTGATCCTACGTACACCACGAGCTATAAATGCCATGCACACAGAAAGCAAAGCATTCCTGTTATTCTACAGTTTTTCAGCCTGCACTTTCATTTCAAAGATCATGCTCTATATCATAAAATCCAGCATTTAAGGCCAGCCTTATGGGTCTCCATATGAGAGTTTTCCATGGTATTTTTTGCAGATTTTGCTTCCCTTAAACTATAAGCTCTCCTTAGTCTGAGTTTCCCAAAGATCATATTACTCTGTACTGTTTACTCTTTCTGTGCCTCGTGGGATCCCACAGCAAACCTCTTTACGGTTTTGACATTGTGCCACCAGGATATCGTCTGAACGATGGATTCTGGCACATGGTGGATCTGGTGGCCAGGGATAACTCTGTGACGGTGATCATCGATGAGAACGAGGGCTCTCCTCTCCGGATCACCAGTGTCTTCACCATACGCACCGGTGACATTTACTATTTTGGAGGTGAGCGGAATAGCAGCGCACTAGCAGTTGGTTACCCTTGGGGCTGAGGTAGAACAAACCCCTTTGGAATCTTTGGTCTTTCCATTCTGGAGTTCCGCAGCTAAGTGACACTACTGGAGCAACACCGATCTCTTACATCAAAGGGATGACCTACATCCGCAGATAGTAATTGTGTACTCTGCAAAGAAATAGGTAAAGGCTTATTCCATGTCTTATTCCAGCAACTAGCATTAACAAATAAGGTAAAAAAAAATCATAAAAGACTGGACAAGTCCTATTTTGTACTGTTGTCCTATATGTCCTATTTTGCTAACAGAATACTAATTGGACAATCTTATAAGTGGTTTATTGAAGGATCACAACACAGTACGGGTTGGTAGCCAGTTGCAGAAACTCACTGCTCTTGGTGTAAGACATGCATGCCGTTTTCATCTTGTTTTAGGGATCGGAATTCTTGTACCAAGTCAACTTATGGTAACCCTTGACTGAGTCTGAAGAGATTCAAATCTTTTATTACTATAGTCACTATATCTGATCAGTTTTTGACGTTGGTATTATATTTCAATCCTATAACTAATGAACACATTGCTCTGCTGGAACTTGTTGGAAACTCTATGGTTTACATACCATTTGTTGGTGACATCTCTGCTCGCATGGGTTCCTGTCTGGCTTTCAGGATGCCCCAAGGGAAATAATGGCGAAAGATGTGAGACCAAGCTCAAGGCTTTTCATGGCTGCATGCAGCAGATCTTCATCGATGGTGATCCTGTGGACATTGACATCATTCTGAAGTGGCGCCGGGGCCGATACTCTGAGCTCCTGCTGGGCACCTGCGGAATCAGTGACCGGTAGGACAGGGACATGCAAGAGGTTGGGAATTACGGGCGGAGTGGTGGCACTGTGGCTAAGGATCTGCGCCTGGTGGCTGGAAGGTTGCCGGTTCAAATCCCATGGCCAGCAGAGGAATCCTACTCCGTTGGGCCCCTGAGCAAGGCTGACCCTGTGCTCTGACCCCAAGCTTCTCTCCCTGTCTGTGTCCCATGGAGAGCAAGCTGGGGTGTGCAAAAAGACGAATTCCTAATGCAAGAAATCGTATATGGCCAATAAAGTGATCTTATCTAATCTTACTGCTTCCACATTGGCCAACCAACTCTGAGCATGGTCTACAATAAGATCAGACGACCCACATACATGTTCTTCTCTGTAGATCGGTAGAATACTTTGTGCTCCATGGATGTCTGTTTAAAGCCTGTTGAAGATGCTAAAAGATTTTGCAATGCACTCATTGGTGGGGCTCAGGGAAGCTACTTTAGGCATGCCAGGCTGTTTGGTTCTGATCCTTTCAGGCCTTGTAACATCCTTCGAAATGCTTGAGTGGTCTTCAAGCAGCCGTGAAATATCAATCTGTTTGCACTTCCCCTCTCTGCAGTGAGTAATCACTCTCGCCTCTTCTTTTTGTTCCTCTCTTTCTCTGTGTCTGGGTCACCCCCAGGTGTACCCCGAACCTCTGTGAGCATGAGGGGAAGTGTATCCAGTCTTGGGATGACTTCATGTGTCTCTGTGACAATACGGGGTACAAAGGGGAGGTGTGCCATAAATGTGAGTGTACTGTACGTGAGTTCTGTGGTGTCTTGGGGTGTCCTCGCCAAAACGTGGGAGAGCCACTGTTCCTTTTATCATTTCCACAGAATGTTAGGAATCTAGTCCATATCACTTCACCACTGACATGTCATTGACTTTTAAGATCTAAGAAAATAACAGCATGCCACCATTTTTGCTCAAAAGAAAATAATCTGTAGACAGTTTTATGGTATGATTAATTGTTTTCAAACAGGAACTATAATCTCTGCTGTGTCTCGTCATAGGCGAACGGTAAGACTGACACAGACTGCAGCTGGTTTTGGTGTAAAACTCCAAAAATACAACTGCCCCTAGATATCTTCTTTAAATATCATCATTAAACGACTAGCTAGCTCCCTAAATTTAAAATTCCATGTGGAGTTGTATCATGAGTTTCTTATTTCTAAGCAGCAGGTAATGGTCTTGAGACCCGAGCCAGAGAATTAATCTGGCTCCATCTGGAGAGTTTTGCAGCAGCTTCATTTCTGAAGTTGGTAATTAGCAGAAGCAGTATAGCAATTTAGATGCTCTTTGTACTGAAGTACTGCAGCTGAGCACAGAAGAAGGGCTAAATGTTGAGCAGGCAAGTACAGAAAGCCTGGAAGAGATTACAATGCTGTTTATTTTTCTCTAGTCATTCCTAGAGTCATATATATCTTTTCCAACACTTTTTTGTTCCAGTTTTTTGGGTGTTATTGTATTTTCACATACTCGTTTTCAGTGTGTTAGAAGTCTGTTTGCCTGCACTGACTTGTTTCCTGCCTAAGCGATGTGACCTGACTGCAGCTCTTGCTTCCCTGTGCTCTCAGCGGTCTACAAAGAGTCATGTGAAGCGTACCGGCTCAACGGGAAGACGTCTTCAGGGAACTACACCATCGACCCGGACCTGAGCGGCCCTCTGAAGCCCTTTGTAGTCTACTGTAACATGAGAGGTAGGGATGACTCCCATCGGCTCCACTGGTCTGCCCAGGGCTGGATTGTGGTGTTCGTAGGCCCTAGGCACTTTCACTCCCAAATGTGCAAAAAGAGGGGTCAACGCCAATCGAATGACGTATGATGCCCTTTAAGCTAGTCTAATGCTGAACCACGTGATTGATGGAGCGAGTCGAGAGACCATCACTTTTGATACTTCTAGTTTCTAGAACAGCCGCTAGAGAGCGCATGATTATATACTTGGAGCACCTAGAGTCGACCGCAAGCATGTTGTTTCAGCTCGTTTTTCGTTAGTCACTAGTGTTTCCCTCCTTCGTAGGCCTTAAAAGTTTGGTAGGCCCTAGGCACTGTCCCTAGAGTGTCTGATGGGGGAATCGGGCACTATGTTTGCCCCCATACCTCCCTGCCCCCCTCCTGTGGCAGAAACAGGCCGTCCTGACGAGACGCCCCACTCTGTTCCTTAGCAACCAAGGCCTGGACGGAAGTGAGGCACAGCCGGATCGTGGCCACCAAGGTAACGGGCTCCCGCGCCGACAGGCCCTACATCGGCGACGTGCAATACTACAACGCCTCCTGGGACGAAGTGACGGCTCTGGCCAACACCTCGAGCTACTGTGAGCAGTGGATTGACTACTCGTGCTACAAGTCGCGGCTCCTCAACACTCCTTGTAAGTCTGTTCACACTTCTGACCCTGTTGGGACTCCTGGTAGTGAAGACGGGGCTTCATCTCCATACTCACTTTGGACTCCATTTAGATTTTAAATGTTTACCATTGCTGTTCCTCTTAGTGTAGATTTTTCTCCATTGAGAAAAAAGAAAACGGAGAGCAGACCTGGGGCTCACTCAGTTCCTGGCGAATGCTGGGTTGGTTCTAGGGCTCTTGCTGTAATTTAAGCACACAGAAAAACCTACAATGCTATGTATTGTTGCAGGTGAATATTTAAATAGAGCTGATCCATTTTTCCTAGAAAAAAAAGCCATTCTTACTTACCGACTTGTTCGCTTCATTCGTTGGTGTCGCTTCACCAATTAGCAGTAATAAAGCTTTTTAAAATGCACTTGGGAGCTTATGCAGGTGTATCCGGTCTCAGCTCTGGAGGGCCAAGTGTGTTTGCGTATTTTCATTTCAGCTCAGCACTTGCCCACCTCAATCAGCTCTCGATCGGCTTATTTGGACACAACCGCACAACAGTCTTCAGGTGCTGGTGCTCTAAAGAGAACTGAAAACTTGCAGACTCCGCAGGATCAGGAATCACAGCGCTAAGCAGTTGCGTTCTGTGGATTTCTTTGGATTTGGATTCTTTGGATTCTCACTGAAAGGAGCCCTTTTGGTTGATTGTGTCGTTCATTTCTATCTCTATCCTTTCCCAGCTGGAAAGCCCTTCAGCTACTGGATTGGCCGTTATGGCGAGAGACACATGTACTGGGGAGGCTCCTTTCCTGGGATTCAGAAGTGTGGGTGTGGCATCAACAGGACTTGCACAGACATCAAGTTCTCCTGCAACTGCGACGCTGATTACAGGCAATGGTGAGAGGAGGACATGCAATTCTGCCCAATTGCAACTGCGCTTGGAATGAGGTGCAGATCTGGAAATGGCTTTGTCCCCCTCCCCAGCTTTTTGTCCAGATTCTTGGTTTGTAGAAAAAAAAAATGTCATCCACCAACCTTTCTGACGCGTGCATTTTTAATAAAGGATCGTCAGAGGGAACGTTTCGACTGGGCGACATCGATATCGTAGATCTGCCTCAACTCCAAGTGCACCATTCTCAGCTGACACCCGAATGGTATTGGCAGCGTTGCTGATATTTCTGCCTCTCCACCCAGGCACTATGACAGGGGGCTGCTGAACTACAGGGATCACATGCCCGTGACTCAGGTGGTGGTTGGAGACACCAACAGGACCGGCTCTGAGGGCAAGTTCAGCATTGGGCCACTGCGCTGCTTCGGAGATCGTAAGTCATGTCACAGTGATCTATAACACAAAGCCAAAAGAGGCCATTTTGAATCTGAAAGAATTACTTGGTGCTGTTAGGCACTAGTTATTTTTCTGTGACCAATGTATTACTGTCCCCTGATATTGAGTCGGTGATATTTCTGATTGCCTGTGACCCCATGAAGTTTTGATCTCTTGCTGCTACAGAGACGATTTCTGTTGCTTTTTATTCCCCAACAGGAAACACCTGGAACACTGTGGCCTTCACAAAAGCCACGCACATGGTCTTCCCCACCTTCAGGCCCGGCACCAGCGCCGACATCACCTTTTACTTCAAGACCACATCCGATCACGGCGTCTTCCTGGAGAACTCTGACGAACGCCACCGCAACTTCGTTCGAGTGGAGCTCAACAGTAAGGCGGCTTCTCCTCTGCTCCCGAAACAAAAGAGCCTCTCCTCCCAGCTTAGAGAAGGCAAATCAAGGCAAAGCAAGCGTCCGACCTTTTCAGAAGAGAAGCAAAGGGCAGTAAATGCTCTAAACATACCGTATTCACAAAGCAGATGAGATCATCATTTTTAGGTCAACAGGCAACATTTTGTTTAAACCTTAATAAGGCGATATTAGATGTTGTGCATGTAAATTCCTTTTCCTGTAATTGTTGAGAGCACGTTGCACTCAGGAACCTTTCCGAAGAAAAAAAACCTAGCAGTCTCTTTACCTTCTTTCACGGTCTAATCAGCTGTCTTGTTCTGTGATTAAGGCACCACGGAGCTGCTTTTCATCTTCAGCGTGGGCGATGGAATCATCAACGTGACCCTCAAGTCACCCTGGCACCTGAATGACGACGACTGGCACCACGTCAAGGCCGAGATTAACGTGAAGCTGGCCCGGCTGAAGGTGGACTACCAGCCCTGGGCTGTGCGCAGATTCCCACCCCAGACCTACGTCACCATGGAGTTCACCAAGCCTCTCTTTGTGGGTGCGTCTGGGGTGGTAAACATGAGCAGTGCTCCACTGCTGCAGCAGGGCATGTCTGAGCTACCTATTGCAAGGCAAGATTTAGGGGCAGGCAGATACACAGTACAATTAAGCTGATGTATGTAACATTTTACCAACTGAAAGTCTCTACCTGAATTGTATTTCTGAAACAGAAAAGCTAGTAGATAAATCCTTGAATTTGTACAGTTTTTTACCCAGAAGGGGAGGAGACTTCCTTCTCCACTGAAGTACAGCATTACCTGGGTGCCCCAACCTACTATATACTACATGAGGTGGAAAATAGTGAAAACCACCTTTTCAATTCAAGTGCATGGCAAATTTATCAGCTATTCAAGTCTGAAAGGGAGTTTAGACAGGGGTTAGCACAACTGTTCTTACAAACTGTCCAAAAGGTGGCCTTTACTAACCACAAGTACTCAGGAGTTTGGTTCATTTTCTCACCTGAAGGATGGCTTTTCCTTCAGCACACTGCCCCCCATGACGATGCTGGGGCATTTGGAATTTAGGAATTCAGGGTGTTTAGGTATTTCTTTTTCTAAAAGGAGGAGAGACACCAACTGGTCTACCAACATCACATTTTTGACAGATGTTCCTTGAAAGACATATTCTACATGCCAAGTATATAACATATGATACATGGTATTGTTGTAGCACAGTGTACTCAAAATAAGTTAAAAATACAGAATATACAAAAAAATGTCATGTTGATTAGAAATTACAGATTTGGAACCAGGGTTTATCTCTTTCTTAATAGAGACAACAAGTTCCGAGATATGTTGAAATGAGTGTGTGTACAGGTAACTCAGGGATTTCATGTTCCACCAGGAGAACAGAATTGCTGGTATCCTACAAAAACTGTTGCAGACACCCTTTATTTGTATGTATTTTATACTTATTCATAATACAATTAAGCTTTTGTTTGAAAAAGTATATGAAAGTACAATAAAACACAAACATTTAACAAGTCCATTTTGTGCCTTAGTCCTCTAAGGCAGAAAATTAACGTATAGTTACCTAAGAGTGGTTTATTGTATTTAAACAGAAAGCGCCAAAATTTTGTGCTTTTCTACCTAAACCTACATGCCTTTACAGCAATTTAGTGTACAATTAAAGTGTCACTGAAGTGCAAAGGCTTGGCTTGTTTCTTCCAATCAGGTGCCGCCGAGCACAAGCTCAGAGCCTACCTTGGCTGTCTCCGGGGGTTACGGATGAATGGGGTGACCCTTGACCTGGAAGGGAAAGTCAGCGATAAGGAGGGGATCAGGCTGAACTGTACAGGCCAGTGCCTGAACGCCACAGTGCCCTGCAGGAATGGGGGCCGATGCGTGGAGAAATATGGACACTACTTGTGCGACTGCAACAGCACTGCCTTCGAAGGGTTCTACTGCTCCAAAGGTAAAGACTTCTCTGTGCTCTGCAGCCCTTACAAGCTTCTTTTTAAAAAGCATTTACAGCCACCAGAGCAAGCTAGAAATGCCCGATTCACTGCAAACAATCTGAACATTGTCAGTACATTGCCTGAGGATTTGGACTCCTTCCTGAAAATCACATTCTGGCCTCACTGGTTTGTGCCCCAGAATTGTGACTTGCAACTTTCCTGAGATAAGGATCTGCTGTACATTTCTTTTCTACTACAGCACTTTCTTATCGGCCTCCTTTAATCTCTGAGGAGGCACTGTGCACTTCATGTGTCCCTGTGGGTTCTGCTGCATGCTCTGTTGTGGGTATTTTTGTGGGCAACATGCCAGTAATTGTGAAAGAAGACTCTCCTGAGCAGAATTTTATATTTCAACAAGCTTAGTTTATTCAGTATAAAACTTCTGCAGTAACTTCAGAATAGGGAATAATGATTAATTTATAAACCCCTCTAAACATAATATAATAAGAGAAGAGTAATACAGTCTCAATAACCCTGTACTAAGAGAAACTTAGTAATGATTAAGTGCATTATCATATTATTAATTGTATTAATAACACTGACAATAGCTGGTGTCAAATATTTGTCATTTGTAAATATTTTATTCATTGCTACTTATAAAGTGCGATTTACGCTCATTAAAATCGTATACCAGCCCGCATTTGTGCATGAAGTCAATAATTTGAAGTGAATACATTCATTGTTACAATGGAGACATATTAAATTAAAAGGCAGAAACACAGGGTAACAAACCCTCTGTTCACTGCTGGGCTGAGGAGGTGAAAAGTTTCCCCATTTTTTTCTGGGGACCCGCTGGACAGTCTCTGAACACCCCAAGAGACTAAAATCAGTGACCCGAAGGATCAAGTCAAAATAAACTACATATTTTCTATATTATAGATATTATACACACTGTAAATCTTGGTGTGCACAATACACCAGAAGTGACCGCAATAACTGTTTGCCAGTTAAAATAAGAACTTCTCAAACTCCTTGATCAAGTATTCAGTCACCTCAAACTTTTTGATTTCTAAATCATATCCAGCAGAACCTGTGAAAGTGAATACTTACCCCCTTGTGCTGTTGCTAGTTCACATAAACCTTCAAAAAAAACAGTTTGCTCTGGAGTGAAAAAAATGAATGACTCCATCTGGCGCCCAGATAAATCTTCGGTTCATGGAAGGAATGATGATACCCTGAGAAAACAGACAACTGATCTCAGATGTAAACACCGCTGAACCCACTAACAGTTCTGGCCCTTCTGTGATCCAGATTTGTGAAGTCCTTACCCGGAATTTTCTCTTTTTTCTTTCTTTTGCCAGACATTGGAGGCTACTTCGGGGCCGGAACCTGGCTGCGCTACAATATCCGCACGGAGGCGATTTCGGAGGACGCGCGGTTCGCCAACACGCTGGACCCCTACAACTTCAGCCTGGGCTACAACCAGACCAGCGAGGAGATCGAGCTGAGCTTCAGCACCACCGAGAAGCCGGCCGTGCTTTTTTACGTCAGCTCCTTCGGAAAGGACTTCATCGCCGTCATCCTCAAAAACGATGGTAACTGGAACGCGGTGCACAGCCCCCCGCCAGCATCGACACTCCACACCCCCACTCGCTCCGAGTCCGCACGCTGATCTCCAGCCACTGCAGACTGAGTTTAGAATAGGAACATAAGAAGGGCGACACTATTCATATGTTCTTATCAGAAATTAAATGTGAAAAACGAGTGAGATGTGTTGGAATGACTTTACGAATGATGGCATTACCTATCTATCCATCCATTCTCCAATGTGCTTCATCTAATTCAGGGGGGCAGGGGAGCTGGAGCCTATCCCAGCAAGCAGGGGGCACAAGGCAGGATACACCCTGGACAGGACGCCAGTCCATCACAGGGCAGACACAGAAACACACATACAGTACACACTAGCATCAGGGCCAGTTTTCCCAGACCTACCTACCAGTAGGTCTTTGGACTGTGGGAAGAAACCGGAGCACCAGGAGGAAGTCCATGAGAACACAGGGTGAACATACAAACTCCACACAGACAGCACCCTCAGGTCTGGAATTGAACCCAGAACCCCAGGGCTCCAGCGCTGTGAGGCAGCAATGCTAACTACTGTTCCACTGGGCTGCCTGGCATTTTCTATAGAAACAGAAAATAAGTAGTATGTTTTCAAACTTGTGGCACAGTCATAGTGATCAAACTGGTGCAGACTGGAAGTCAATATGACAGTGATCAGTTCTGTTCAATCATTTCTGAGAAACCCATTTCTCCTCCCAGCTACCGTAGGCCTGCTGGTGGAACACAAAGACACGAAAACTGCATGCATCATCCCAGGCTCATACTGTCAGGCCATCTGACACACTTTCACACTGTGAGCCTGATGCGCCAGCAGCAGAGTTGAAACCTCGAGTAGCACACCCACAGGCTGTCAGGTGTTGGACAAACCACAGTAGCTGATTGTGCAAGGAGGGCAGAGGAAACACAAATCCAGTTCAAACCTACCGGCAGTAGTGTGGAATTGTACTTGTGGCTTCAGACCAGAGGGTCGTTGGTTTGTTGTGGGAAAGATAATTCTCAGGACCCAGAGTATGGAAAATTGCCTGTTTTATTTACTGCAACTGTTGTAGCTGCAGCTTAACTGGTTTTCACCCTCTAAGGCTCACGTGAAGAGATTACTACCCAGCACACTGCCTCCAGACCTGAAAGTTTTACAACATATTGGGGTTACCGTAGCATGATAGCTACAGAATGCAAGTATTCTGTGACTTATATTCATTACCTGTTAGAATTTGTGCTAAAGCTATATTTCTTGAAAGGGCTATGGGATTGAGGCCCATATCTGGTAATCTTCCAGCTTCTCCTAGCAGACCTCTGACCTTCTCTGGCCAGTGTGTGGACACCCAGGAAAGGCCCCTCCTATCTATCTGGTGGTGCACTACCATTCAGTCCTTTATCTGGAAAGACACAGGTTTATACCACATTGTCCAATGACAGCCTCTCCCTGCTGCACCACAGAATCCATAAACGGTTCTTAATTCACTTCATCTGGTGAATTAAGAAACGGGAGTATACTTACCTTTTCTCGTTCTTCTCTGTGACAGAGGTTGTTGGGGCTCAGACATAAACAAAGGACAGATCACCAGGTGGATTTCAACTAAACGAGTCCTGAAGCTTTTTTGTTACCCTCCTCCAGGTAGCCTGGATTTGAAATACAGGCTGGGATTATTCGCCCATACATACCTCGTGTCCTCAAGGAACCTGGCTGATGGGTACCCTCACATTGTGAACATTACCAGGACGGACAGATACATCCGCATTCAGGTACAGACCAGCGGCTCTGCAGTTGTCCTCCCCAGTTACAGGTCTCAAGTGTCGGACTCGCTGCAAGGGAATATCAGTGAATATCCCTCAGAGCTCTACAGCCCCAGGGCTAAATGCACATGGACTGAGTATACCTCATTCTCTGAGATTCGTTTGAAAAGGCCCATGATTAATTAATGGCCCACAGAAAATAATGAGATACAATTAGAAAATAAAAATTGTGTTTTTTATTAATTAAAATATCTGCAGGAGACTTGCTGTGGGTTATGTTTGTAGTTAGTGGAGCTATTATTCTTTAATATTCCCAAAATAATATAGTAATATGTAATATATTATAACATAATTTAATGTCCTTCTATTTGATCTTCACCAGTCTTCCATGCATGAATTTTCACACTGGAAATGCATGTATTTTCCTAATCTCTTTACTGCCAAGTCCATCCTTCACTATTACATCGTAATCCTAATCCTCTGTTAGTCTTAAAATTTGAAAATTTGAAAATTGCAATCGAAGAGGCTTCTGGTCTCACCCAAGACCGCTGCAGTCCCGCGCAAAATTCATTCCTCAATTTGTGACATTTGCCATTGCTTTCCCCTGGGTGTTCTTCTGAGTTGTCTCGTCCCGTTTCGTGTTTAAATTGCAGGTGGATTACACAGCCCCCATCTGGGAATCCATCCCTGTGCTGCAAGAAACCAAGTTTGACTCCCCGAAGTCCCTCTTTCTTGGAAGGGTGATGGGTAAGATGCACCCCCAAAATGACTGTGACCATCGCCACCTTCAGCTCTGCTTTGTCCCAGGCCCACTCACAGATTCCCATCTTCTGCTCCTCGAGTCTGAGCAGACTTCTTCATTTCATCTTCCCGTCTTCCACATGGCCTCCCTGTTGGTCTACTCTTTTCCCCAGGTGTCCAGGTTGTGCTTTGTCCAATACAGATTCCATTCATTCTTACATTCGGGATTCACATCCATATTGGAACACTGCTGGGTAACTTCATAAGCCTCTTGTCCTCGGGAATATTCCAGGACAAGGTGGAATTTTAAATTGAATGGCTCACTGGTGTTACTTGTTGGATGTGATGGAGTAATGACATCCCTACTAGTATGGTAAAATGTTGAGAGTCCCACACTTCGCACAGGGCCTTACACAGAAAAGTGACGTCAAAGCCATGGATCCTGGAGCCTGGTGTGGAATTCTGTTGTGGAGGGAGGCCTGACCTTTTGGCATACTCCAGCAGAGTTCTGTGCTGTCTGGGAGGTGCTGCTCTGTTATACAAAGGATGCTGGGAGAATTACCTGGTTCAGGGAAGTAGGGGCCTGAGCGCCAGGCTGTGCTGATTTAGCTGCATATTGGGAAAAGCAAAACCCATTGGACTTACAGTATGTGTTAAGGCATACTGTGCTGTATATGAAAAACCAGAGAATTCCTGAAAGTTGTACAATCACTGACGCAGCGGAGCTACTACAATTATTTTTGGCATTTTACTGCACTTATTTCATGTCGGTTTGTAATGAAACGGTAGCGTAGATGCACCAGTAGAGGACTGTATCTCACAAGCACGAGAGAGGGGAACAGTTACGGATGTGAACTGATAACCTCTGGGGTTTTGTTCCTGTTCGGTCGCGAACTGCAGAGGTGGGCGAGATCGACTACGAAGTCCAGCGGCACAACTCCCCGGGTCTGATCGGCTGCCTGTCGGGGGTGCGCTTCAATAACATCGCCCCGCTCAAGTTCTACTTCAGACCCAACGGCACCGAGTTCAACCTCACCGTGCAGGGAGAGCTGGTGGAGTCCAACTGCGGCACCTTCCCCCCGGTCCTGCCCCCCATCCCGCTGGAGGCCGACCCCTGGTACAGCGGACCAGGTGAGGCTCCTCCTGCTCCACCAGGAGCGATGCATGTTCTAAGCAAACACGCGAAGCCTTTGAACAGAGGGAATCGGCTCCAGAGACGAGTAAATGAATATTTGCATTTTGTCGCATTTTTAAAATCCCAAGTTAGGGATTTTATTTCACTTACAAAATACCACAGTTAAAGCTCCAAAACGTTTAAGTTGGGAGCAAGAAGTTCAAATTAATCTTATTAAGACGATGAAGGGTCTGATGGTATCACTGAGGGCTCGGCTAGCACACAGACCAACAGGTTTGTGGGTCAGCAGGACCAGGAACTTCTAAAGGGACGGTGTGGATGTTTTTCGAGTTGATCTGTGACCACAAGACTCGGCTGTGGCTCACAAAGCTGCTGAACACCTCCTGCCAAGACGGTCTCAATGAACGTGCAGCAGTGTCACTCTGGAATCCAACGGCTGCAGACCAGGGGGATCGTGTAGAGTAGCAACATGCTCATGTTTTAGTTATTGAGCCACAGTATCGGGTTTACTAAGCTACTCACTTGAAAAATCACATGTGCACTGTTTTGCTTCACTGTAATAGTTGTACTTCTCTTACTCTGGATCTTTCCCAATTGTGCCTCGCTTGTATCTCGTTGCAGTTTTTATTGGATTGATTATGGGCATTAAGAGGATCTTCAGGCTTAACAGCAGCTCACCTGATCCAATAAGATTTCTCTTTAGCACTAATTAGAATCAAGTGGCATAATAAATCAGAACATGACCTGCTCTCCAAAATCCAAGGCTAATGCTCAGTGTTTTTTCAATTTATTCATTTCTCTCAGATATTTATACATTACTTCAAATCAACTGTAATTCACAGGTTATTGGTTAGTCAGACAGGACAGTTGCTCAAATAAAGGGAATCCAATCATCTCAGAATTACTTAATTGATCAGATCACAATCCAAGCATGAAAAAAGTGTGACGGTTTAATGTCTCCTTGCATACAGGAGCAGGCATGGAGATCTATGAAGTAGACCTTTGCTGCTTGGGTTGCAGCATTTATTTCTGTTTTTATTATGACTCAGGCCCTAATGGCTTAAGGAAACCAATTAAGTGAATAAGAACTCAGATCAGCTGTGTTTTCCAGGTCTTAATGAGGTGTTAATTGAAAGACGCCTCAAAATCATGCAGGAACCCAACACTCCAGGACTGGAGTTCCTCATTCCTGTTATCTTAAATCTGCTTTATCTATAAATGGAGATTTCATCTGTTCACTTCTTTAATATTTGCATTCATTGCATATGCACTAATGAAAACAATACTGTTTGAAAGGTTTTGTGTACAATGCAATGACACATCAGAAAGATGAAATTCCAGAATAATGACAATAATAAAACATGTTTTAGTGAAAGGAGTATGCATAATCAGTGATGCTATTAGCACTTAGAGGCTCTAACTCTTTAAAGGGGAACTCCAACACTATTTAATCGGCATAGAAAAAATAGACATCATTTCCAGGTACCATAAGTGCAGCGTCATGTTCTGAGAACGAGGTACCAAAACTTCCAGTGAGGTGAGGTGGCCCTATTACATTGTAAACAAGCAGGCTTTTGAATCCATCTCTTTTAGTCCAATAGAAGTATTGCTCTCGAGATGGTTTTGGCAATAAAAGGAACTTACTTGTTAACGCTGCATGCAGATCATGTTGGAAACTTTCTGTAGTAAAATTTCTGCTGCATAATCTGCATGTATTCACTCGTACATCACACTACACTAATCGTTCCAGTGACTAGTGAGCAGGAAGGGCCACATCACGTCACAATTCGTGAGAACTGTGATGAAGACCAGAGATTTACGACAACATGGCAACTTAAAATACTTTAATAAAGTTCACGGTTTTGTGCTTAATTCAATATCTGTAAAAAATGTCTATGCCTTCAATTAATGTATTTTGTTACCGAGATGTAAGAAACGGTCTGAGAAATTGGGACTGCAGTTCCCCTTTAATGTAGAGATCTCAGCAGGATTTCCTCTACAGCCCGTCATTTTCTGTGTGTCTGTGTGCAGAGAGGCAGAGAGCCTTACTCTCCTCTTCACCTGCTGGAGCTGTCTGGCTTTTCCCAGCCACCCCACAGGTCGTAGCCAGGCCACACAAGGAGAGCGTGGGCAGGAATCCAGCCTTAAGAACGTCTGGGCTTCAGTGCACTTGCTTTACCTGCTGTCTCTCCACTGCAATCCCTCTGCCTGTCAACAGCTCGGTTGTGCCTTAAGCTGCAACCCTCCCAAGCACAGTGTCAGCCTGCTGTGTCACATCAAGCTGTGGTCTTTTTCCCTTGTCCTGTCCCATATCTCTGTTGGACCAGGGCAAAGGTTTAAATGAAGCAAGTCAAAGGGATGGGTTATTTAAAGAGCATACAAATAAGGGATTTAGACAAAAATCATGCTGTGCCTAACATCAGATTTGTTTTCAAATAATGATTTACGAACATGCCCCCACCACCCTGCGCTGAGCTCCATACACAACACAAACAGGTGTTCTAACAGCAATGCCCTAAGAATCATTAATGGTCCCCTCTTACTCCAACGCATTCGGTTCTGAAAACTGTCCTATAACCTTGCACGATCACTGTAAATGATCTGCAAACTGACAATAAATTGTGCAAGTTTAGCACTGACACTCTGGAAATAAAAGGAAGTGAATGTTCAAATATGCAGCCAATGCTGTAGAAAAAGTATAGTTTCTATTTGATGTGGCCTCTACGGACTTGCATTGCATGCCATTTTGACATTTTAGAGTATAAACAGCTTCATATCTGACCTATATCTCTATGTCAGTTTTTGCAAGAACTTTGAATTAATTATGATAAGCATGTAGACCGTATTAGTGACATAACAGTAATCTGTCCATCCAGAATCCCCACCCCCTTAGAAAGAGTTGACAGTAAATGTCCTTCCTCTACATTGCAAAGCTAATATTTTTTTCTATCTTTTCAGTCTTCCATTACATCCATGACGACACCCCCAGTGGCCCCGTCCTCGCACGTAAGTTGCAGTGTGCAGAAAGTCACGCTCCATATTTAGAACACTGAGCACAGAACCTCTGTGTCTGCAGCTGTGCAATGTTACTCATACTTTCTGTTCGACATGGATGTGTTGCTTCAGAAATATTCCACCCGGCTGTGCAGTTTCCTTCAGCAAGTAATGTGAAGAAACGCGGTGTCCTGGCACTTTAAGCTGCCCTCTGTACCGGCTGTCCATTAAATCCTCCTGTGTGTTTTCTTCATTGACCTCAGGTAGTCTGTCAGCTACTGACACAGTTCCCTTTGCCTGGCATTTTCACTGTAAAATCTAAATCCTCTTATAGCGTAATCTAAAAACAGATGAGGACATAACACAAACAACTGAAAGCTGGCTTTTATGTATAGACATACACATCAAGCAACTGCATCTGTATAGCTACTCACTGTATGGCCTCTCCACTGTTCCTAATAGCAAATAAAACAGATCACGCTTATTACACATGATTAAAGACACAGTATATTCCACAAAGTCTTAAATGTTAGCAGTTTAATAGGCACATGGGTTTTGTGGTATCATCATTGACATTTTCTTTTCTTGCATACACCTGTACTGAGCTGCCAGTTGTGTCAGTCTGTACTAGCTACCTGTGAACAAGACTGCCCAACCAGCATGCAACTAGCGGGTTTGTGGATGTCATGCAGTTGAATTTATACATTCATGGAAAAGAAAAAGACATTGAAACTAAAGAATCAAATACTGCCCTCCTCTCAGTGACAATCTCAATCAACATCAACACTGAGCACAGAACTCTGCAGCCCTGGAGAGCTCAAATAAGAGCCACTAAGATTAATGTCCTTTCTCCAAGGTGCCTCCCACACAGTTTGGTTTAAAAGCTTCCCCACTCTCACACAGAAGACATCAGTAGGGTGCACAGCAGTATTCAAAATTGGAAAGGTATCAACAAGCTAATTCAACTACTTCAGGATCAACAAAGAAACTAGGACCTTGGATCACAAATGGAAATTAAGAAGTAGTGCACCTAGGGTAGACTTCTCCTCATGAAGATGAGTGGATTCCAATAGATCATTGAAGAATTGGCTGGATATGACCTTTGTAATATTTATATTTAGTAACCAAAGGGGCAAGTCGGGCCCAGCCCTCCTCTCCTGTGTATCTGCTTATCGCTCTTTTCTCCTTCTTCTCTCCCAGTCATTATCATCCTGCTCCTGCTCCTTCTCTTCGGGGTGCCGTTTGCTCTGTACATGTACCTGTACCGCTACAAAGGGACCTACCACACCAACGAGCCCAAGACCGTGGAGTCCCCCAGCAGCGCCAAGCCCCTGACCGAGCCGCCCAGGAAGGAGAAAAACCTGCCCAAAATCCAAGAGGAGGCCAGGAGTGAATAACTGCTCGCCGCCTGGGTGGAGAGAGGGTTTCAGGAACACTAATGCCTGTTAATGTTTGCTTTGTCCCCCCACCCCCCAACACTGGTTTATTTACAAGTCAGACACAAGGTTTATACTGGATCTCTGGTGCGGGAGTGTTACACAGGGGAGCTGTGGGAATTGTTTAGTGAGAGCTTGAGAGAAAAGGTGAAAACGAATCCCATCCTTCACTACAGGGCTGACCAACAGAAGTGCCTGAATGAACATTCTTATCATGACCTTTAATGCACATGCTCTAATATTTCCTACCTTGCACCAACTAGGTAATTCAGACACAGTGGTATGGTGTCATGTAGTTTGCCCAGGTTGCAAAAGGATGACTTTCAGAGCTTTCAGTGCTCTGTCTGGTCTTCCAAGTCCTCAGAAAGTCTGTCTGGTCTCTCCCATTGCCTCCAGCCTGCATGGCAGAGGAGGGAATACAATACTGGTGCTCTCAAGCTGGAGGAAGCTTCACAAAACTCATATTAACATAAGCAACTACCGAATGCTGAAAGAAATACCAATACAAAAGAATCATTAAGCAATGTGTATGAAACTCCTCCTACCATAACCTGGGAATGTTTAGTCATGTAGAGCCATATCCAATTCTACAAAAACATGTGTGAATACCTACAGTATAGTGCTTATGTCCCCTCTGCTCTTTTGAGTTTCAAGGGACCCAAACTTGCCTGTGATTTATGTAAACATTTCGCAGTGAGATGGCTGGAATTTTGTTTAATTATTGGGATCTCTTTTTGTGTTCAAAACAGGTCCATGCGGTTTGTTTTCTCTCAATAGGCAGTTAGTAGGATAAGCTACACCCCAGAATGACCAGAGGTGAGATCTGGATTTGTGTCCATCGATTGTACAAGTGCTGTAACTGGCCCAATAATTACTGTACCTTTAGGCATCTCTGAGCAGGCTTTTCGAAGACCAGTTCACATCCATCTGCTGGATCTTTCTCAGGTGCCATTAGAATTCTTGGCACTTAATCTCAGCGGCCAGGTGAGCACTGTCTCCAAGCACTCTGACACAGCCTGTCTCGTCATACTTGAATCACAGTCTCAAGTAGCACTTGAAAATGATGAGGAACTTCAGGCTGGTCTCATGTCTGCAGTCCAGTCAGCTCGTAGGGCGTGGGCCTTCAACTGGGAATTATTCCAAGGATATTATTAAAGTCTTGCTTCCTCTCTGGATGAGCAAGACTTCCAAGTTTTAGTTAGCAGAAATGTTGGTAACACTGAGCTGATCTTACATTTGAAAAGAAAAACAACCAATATCTTAATCTGTGGGGACTTGACAAAGCTAGGTAATTGGGGCATCACTCTCCCTAGCTGTGCTGCGGCTGTTGACGAACGATTAATAATTATCTGACCGAATTCGAGGACAACCACTGGGCCAAGATAACCTGAAACAGAAATGTCAAACTGGTGGATAATGGCAGCCCTGTAGTATGTGATGCAGATTACTGTATGTCTTTTCAGGACTCCATTTGATTTAGACCAGAAAGCTTTAGAAAGACGTGTGACCCAGGTGCAGAGAGGGTTGTGCAGATGTGCTGCACTGTTCTGTAACCCAAATCTGTTCTGTTTAACGTTATTTGCAGTTTAATATTTTTAAAATGCTAACCGGAGGCCGAGGGCTCTGTGCTATTTAAGAGGGTCCAGGTGCCCCTGTCAGTACATGCTGGACTCTGAGCCTCCAGCTCAGAAGACAAACTGCCAAGACCAAGAAAAGTACAGTAAAAATGCCTGCTCATGATATCGTCAAGGTATCTATCAGAAGACACTGTTTTTTTTAAATATAGGCGATCACAGTCATGTAAATGTCTGCCTTTTACCCTGCTTTGATAGACTGATAGTATTTAGGGCGCTGCTTCTTAGCTGTTTAAACAGAAGGATCATAACCAAAGCCTAGAGAAATAAAAAAAGAACATAATGCTGTGCTATTTGAGGCAATATGTACCGTGTTGTTGAGAAATCATGAAATTTTTAGCTATGCATATTAAGGCATGTGATCTGCACTTTGCATTGCAATGCAACAAGCTACTGCTTCAGCACAATCACCTCAGAAGTATTTTAGCAGTTTTGTTTGCAAATTCTAAAATTATATTATATATAAATACTATATAAATAAAGTGTATATCATTTTTTAATGTACTGGTTTATATAAAAAGTCATAAAATCTTGAATGTACGTTTGTGCTGTTACTGTGATGTGAGAAGGTGGATGCACTATAATGGTCTCTGTCCCAATGTTTTCCATGTCCTTCAGAAAAAAGACAATTAAATGCCCTTTCCACCGATACTAAGCCTCAATTCTGACCGTTTCAGAATTTTTGCTTCAGAGAATATAACCAAGTCTGAAATTTTAAGCAGCCGTGAAACTACTGCGGAATTGTGCTAGTCTTTTTGTGGCTGTTTTTAACTGAAAAAACACTTTTTCCTTTATGCCTCAGCATAATTGTTTTTTTTTTATGAATTAGTAGTTACAATAGTTAGCTCATGAATGCACAGTTTAGATTTACTGGAACTAAAACACACTGCACTAAGGAGCTACTGTATATAGTCTTGTCAATATAATATAATCAATTGGAATTGAAATAGAAAAACTGTGAAATTCAGATTCCAGTCTTAACCAAGCTGAAATATCTAATAATCTAATTAAAATAGTAATAGACATATTGCAAAAAGTAAAACTATGACTTAATTCAATAACTTTCCTTAAGCCATACCTGCTCTACATTTCACAGTTCCTTATCTTAATGATCGTTACATCAGTAAATCAGGATCAGGCTCCGAAAGGGAGATGCACGTCGCTTTAAGGGGATTTGCACTTATACTCCCTGTTGAAAAGAATTTAATGTTAAATGTAACACTTCACACAAGTTGCACATTAAAAATGTGAGAATGGACAGAAGTAATTCTATGCATTTTTTCCATGATTAAACATTTGTCATGAGAAGCATCTTTTAGCACATAACGTAGAACATGTAAGTTCTCTTCAAACTTCAAAGTTTGAAGAGATCGAACAGATCACTTGCAACATTCATCAATAATTTCTAGGTGTTCCCAGTCAGTAAACAAAGGTGACCTATAAAACGTGTTGGACTGGGACTCTTCAGGACCAGGCTTGGAGATCCAATCTTAAAATCATCCAGCTTTTAATTGATATTGCCGTTCCAGGAGCCCTTGCTACACTTTTCCATTGTCCTGTTTTCTATCAAGATGAGCTCTGTTACTAAGGAGAACCTTTATTGAATTAATAATTAAACTAATTAGAGTAATTATATAGCTTTTGAGTCTTAACCTACAAAAGATCCCTCAAGAAATTCAATATTATATATGTAGCTTAAAAGCTGCAAACTAGCAATTAACAATATTGACAAGCATCCAGTTAAGCAGTTCAATTGTGGGATTAATTAACTAACAGTTCTCAGCTGGAAAGAAAAAACAAGTGGAGACTAGAGTCACTAGGATCATAATACAGAAGTACAGTATATACAGTAGCTTTTCAAACAAGCATATCTTATCCCCATCAAAACACAAGTGTTATTGAAAGACATTCAAAAGCAGAACTTTGTTCATTTTTGCTGACTTTGGTCAAAATAAACCCTCCTGTCCAGCAGGAAAAGAAACTGGAGAGTTTTGTCACTGTACATACAGTACTTGATTGGGGCTGAGAGTAAAAACAGGAAAATCTGTTGAAGCAGAGGACTGTCCGACACTTCTGTAGTGATGAGGCACTTTTTGTTTTTTGTCTTACCCTGTGTTAGCAAGTTGGGTAATTGTATACAAAACTGAAAAATCAGCTTGGCGGAACGAACACTTCTCATCACGTGCTTTTACACATCAGTCGAGTTTTTGATTTGTATTTTTTTTTGAATGCACATATTCTTGAAGAACAGCATAGCAATAGGTTCTTCCCACACGACACTGTGACCAAGAATGTCTCTTCACACTGTGTGCACGCGCTTAAGTGCGCCGATAGCAAATTGTATCTACAATCAACACTGACCTGCACATAAGAGTGCAACACCGTCTTCCAACCTCTGCTCCAAGGCAAAAGCACATTCTTCTTATGTTTTTGGAGTGAGCAGGCATTCTTTAAAACTTGCACCATGTGGCATCAATAACCCACATAAAAAGTGCTGAAACGTTTTTATATTGGCTTGTCAGACAAGGAGGCTAATGAGGCTGGAGGACGTAGTCTGTAATGAGAGCAGAGACGCCCGAAAAGAGAGGTTTCTGCAAGCTGGGAGGTGGTACGGATGAGGTCTCACAGCTGGATTGGATGTTCATCCAATCTGGAGTTTAAATGGAAGAGCATTATGTTTTTGTTTATTGGGGCAGCAAAGGTTCTCCCACAGTAAATGCACTCACTAGTGAAAGGAAACGGCTTTTAATAATTCGGGGGTGAGGGAAATCTGGTGCCTCCTTTTTATGTGCAAAGACATTTTTTTCTTTTCAGTGTGGGTTCTACTGCCACCATGTGGGGCAAGCGAGAAATGCACACCAGTCAAAAGTAGTAACTGGGCTACGCTGAGCGATATGTTATCATATAGTAGTCCTGCGTTTTGCTGGATCACTTGGAAAACACAATTGTAAATGTCCATTGTAAATGACCATAACTACAAAAATGAAAACAAGCTTGTATGAGTATACAGAAACTGACATTTCAATAAAGAAGCGTGAAGGAACCGTGTGATCTCTATTACCTGCATGTGTTTGTTTGAACAGGTAGCAATGTCTCACCTACAGTGCATAACCCTGATAATGTAACCTGCTAACCAGTTAGTTCTGAGTTTTTCTGGGAAAGTGAAAGTCCTGAAAAGGAGACAAGGCACGTGAGATTAAAGGCTTTCCTTTTAATGAATGAGAGATTTTTACAAATAAGTTACAGCAAACCACATTACATTACAAAATGTTTCACATCGTTCTGCAGTTGCAAATGGTGAGTTTCCCACAGAAGGGAAGAGACAATGTTAACAAACTGTGATCTGCACAGCTAAAGGAGACTAAGATATGGCAACACATACTACTGTTAAAGAGTCGGGCTGGCTTTGGAAAAACATTATTCTCTGTGCCACAGAGGTGATTTTGATCCTTTTCTGAAGAGAAGCAAGAACGAATGGACTAACAGTCAGCAATATGCATCAGTTTGCAGCATAAGCACAACCTTTTATATTCTTTCCAGCTCAGGAATATAGAGCTTCTAAGATTATTTTGCAAAATAAGCAGAATGATCACATTCGCTACTGAAATCCTTTTCTCTGTCAAATGCACTTCCACATCAACTTGTCTTCAAAAACAGTCCTTTTTCCCCCCCACAGCATTTTCCTGTTCAGTCTAACAATTACAGAGGTGGACTGAAATGTGTGCTTGCCTACCCTGTGTGCAGTGAATAGCTATATCCTGACATCCGATACAGAGACTTTCCTTAACAATGTGCACTTGTTAAAACGTTTCGCACCCTGCGAATCTCACAGTGCTTGCAGGAGAGTTTGCGTCCAAACATCCATTCGTTTTCAGGGCTGCAGGAGAGCCAGAGCCTATCCTGGCAAGCAGTGGGCACAAGGGAGTGCTCACCCTGGACAGCAATGCTCACCTCTATGCCACATGGCACAACACCTCTCCTCCATGTGGTTCTAACTCTCTGGTCAGGCGAGAGCCCGTCACGGCTGAGTGGCCCTCATGGGCATCTGTGTCCATCACTGCTTATCCACACTGTGCAGTACAGGAGCTCAGACATAACAGAACAACTGGTGATTTCACACCGGGCAGTCAGAAAATGAAAACACCCCAAATTTGGTCAAAAACACACCTGCAGCTTGTATTTTATAACGACGTCTTCTATTTTATAAAACTGCTTTTACTTGCTAGTTCTTTTATGTAATCGGGTGAATTGCTCTCCATTGCGGCCAGGTTATGGCTTAAATGTGGCTGAAACTTCAGTGATCTTTGTGAGAAGGCAAGTGGAGAAAAACTGTACGCTTCTGCAAATAAAGCTTCCTCAGGAAAATATCTGAGAGCTCAGACAAAACCCAAACCTACACATCAGCTTCAATCAAAGCAGAATCCTCTTTAAAATATCCCATTTCTTTCTTTACCTTCTGCTTTCAACACCTCATGATTTACATGTGCTTTTATTAACACATCATTTTGTGGTGGTGGAATACAAACTAACAGAAAGTTAAGAAAACAGACCAGACATATACAGCACTTCCTTTCCTACCGAATATTAACCAATAAGTTAAATTCTAATGATTAATTTGACTATATTTTTTGTAACTGCTTAATTTAAAGAATCATCAGTAACTCAAACTTTAAAATATGTTAAGTTACCTTTATACATATACATTTCACACATAACATCGTATTTCAAAACTGCTCGTTTGCTCTGACTTGAAGACAAAGTCCAGGCATCTCATGGCAGCTTCATCGTGTGGAATGAAAGAACGCCCACTGTAAACTGTATGCATTATATTCAAGATATATAAATCAGTATAGCCTTTGGATAACATAGAGATACGTGACATATGTTAGATATGATCAGGAGAAAACAAGGAGAGCATATATTCCATTGCATAAATGACTGAAATACACATTCACTCAGGCAGTCTGCAAAAGCACACACACTTCATAGGAGATATAGTTTCACCTCATCGAACAATAACAAAACAATTTTTATTAGACTTAAGTGTTTATAACAACAAGTTAATACCTTTTTATAGCATTTACTGAACTCAAAAACCAAAGAAAATTGAAATGTTAAAGATTAAAGAAATTTAGCCTACTTCAGGCATAAAGTGTTGTATTTGGTATATATATATAGGTAACTGTTACAGCAGGAGCAGGTGATGTCCGGCTACTAGGGCCAGGCCTAAATATCTGACTCACACCTTGGTCTCCACGCCCGGGAACTCCTTAGATACCACAACAATGGCAGATATTAAAATCAGCGATTTTCTGGGCTATTAAAAATTAAATGTTCCAACACATATCACTGCATTAAAAAATTGTGCTGATGAGCTGAAATGCTTTCGTAGTGCAGCATATTTTCAAAAAACTGGGATCTCCCAGGTTGATTAAATGACATTATTGGCCCGAAATCTCTTGAAAGAGAGTTTTAATGAAGACAGGTCCCATATCCCAGCTTCTTTATTCAGGATATTTGCCAAGAGCAAGGCTGCTGCAATCTGAAGTATACATTTGGAAACTAACTGCAAAATATATTTTTTGCAGATAGAAAAGGGTGTTATTTTCTGACAAACTAGCCTACTGTATATTTAGGAATTATTTTGTCCTATTGCTTTCCTTCTTTCAGTAAATTTCTAAAGGATCCCACCTGATGGAAGGCAATTCACAACGCTTGTAAAGGCAGGTGGAGAGGTCAGTAATAAAACCCATCTCTGGTGATTCCTTCTCCCCATCACTGTATTTTTGTTCTTCGTAATGTCTGTTTTCAGTTTTGGCACTTCTATCTCATAAGGGAAGACTACAGTACTCACGTTTCTATTAATACATACAAGAAATTAACGCAAGGTTCCTACAAAATATGTTAATAATAAAACTGTATTTGTTAAATGGCACTGGTTCAGGTCATTATCCAGCAAGAACGACAAATCAATTGCATTCATATAAATTTTTTTCCGTTAAAAATAAAGCTAAAAACAAGTACCTTTCCGTTTGTAACATACACACATGCGTGTACTGTATACATACTTGTTTTTAAGAACAGAAAACAAATGACAGTGCTAAAACTCATGATGGGACTGTGGGAAATCCTGACAAGCCCAGGTTACATCTTTAAAATAAAGCATTTTTATCTCATACAATACCCTGTCTTATATACAGTACTGGAAATAACTTAGGGTACCTATCTGGGCTAGTGTGCTTTATCTAGTGTGAGTATTAAAAAAGGATTAAAAGCAGTTGTTATGTCATTATTGGAAGTTAGGTGTTTATAAATTGTATTACAAATAAATGTATTGACTTGACTTGCTCACTAATCTGGGTATATCCTGAAACACAAGTTTCTTATCCAGACCCATGTGAGGCAGACTGCACTGTCCAATCACATGTGCCACTTCACACACATACAACACACTCAGCTCATTTGATTCTGTCAGGAGACAGTCCCCTTCCTCCCCAAGCACATATTGGTTACAGCAGTAGCTCCCAGTCCTGGTCCTGGTGAACCACACACCTGCTGGTTTCTGTTCCAGCCCAGCCCTCGGTGACACCATCAAACTCTTCCCTGACCCCTGACTTAACAATAATTAAACCCATGGGTTTCGTAAGTGAAATAAAATCCCAAACCTGTGACTAGAAACAAAATGCAAATATTCCAACAAAGCAACGTCTCAGCTCAAGTGAGGCTTCAATGCTCTAATGAAGGTGGGCTGGAATGAACAGCAGCAGATGTGTGGGTCACTAGGACCTGGACTGGGAACAACTGGCTTACAGTGTCACAGCTCGCCAACACCTGCTCAAGGGAATAAAATCTGCCCTTCTCTCTAACATGTCTCACAGCAAACAAATGCAGGAGTCTCCTCAGCAACTCGGCTTTTAACTCCCCTCTAAACCACCAGTGAATGTGGAAATCAATTTGGATTTAAAGGATGACTTCCAGTCTTTCCGTGACCTTTCTTAGATCTTGTGATTGTCTGGAGTTAAGATAAAGGGCTTTCTTGAGCGTCGTCATAAACCCCTTTGCATTGAACCCTAAAGCAGAACTACACGTAGTTTAACGAGAACGCACTCAACTGGTCTTTTTTTCGCTGTTTGCCCCGTCGGCCACAGAACGCAGCTGAAAAAGTCTGTGATTCACTCGAGAGTGAGAGCGAGAGACTGCTACAGCGGTTACTGAACTGTGGTCAGAATGAGAGCAAAGTTTGCCTCCACACATTCCAGGTCTCAGAAAGCAGCGTGAGCTTTTATGAGTATTCAGCTTATACTGGGAAACAATATTGTGTCTCCATTTCCTGATCTTATTTTCAGTTTTCTGATCTGCTTACATATGAGAAAGGTTGACCTGACATATATTTTGCACGTACTGTAATTGTGTAGATGCTTCCTTTAGAACACACACCTTGAAATGATAACACAAATATGGTTTAGAAGCGAGTTAAATTACCATTATCTGCCCAACGCTTGATCAATTTACCTGCTGTATTAATTGTTGAGACTCCTGAAATGGGAAGCCAGCGGGGAATTTTACGATTCAACAGGGAAAAAGGAACATTTACCAAATGCAACGACATGAGTAACACCAAAGTTATTTACTCAAAGCACTGAGACAAACCACACATATATCCAGTAACAAGTCATTTCATACCAATGTGTGTTTCTGGCTAAGGACACATTTAGTTAGCAGAGACAATTATCTCAGAAGGACGTGCACACCACGCTCTGTCCTTTTAAAGCATGTGCACCCTTCCTCTCTCCCGTCCTGTCTCAATTTCAGAACACCCACATCACAGCCTCTTAGCATACTGTGGCTGCACATGTAGTTTATACAGATCAATGCTTGTTTACTTTACAGGCAAGGCAGAAATTCAGCTTTCCTTGCTGTGGCAAAGAAGGGAGTGAAAATCACCAACCCTCCCTGTCTTTTGCAACAGCCTCCATCCTGCAAGTAATTCACTGCGCCTCTCCAATGCACGTGGCTGCAACCAGCTGCTGTAGGGCAGAGGAACTAGAAGCACTGCAGTGCATTTCACTGGGAAACTAGCAAGCCCTCCGTGTACTGTACAAGCTGCCACTCTGGCAGAATGAGTCACTTTAAAGGAAAGCACACATTCATTTTGTCGGTTTCACACTGTTGCAAGGACATCTACTACAGCTGTGCAAAAGCCATCGAGGAAGCAGCTTCGAATCTGCCCCACGACACCATCTCGTCCTCGTCTTCCTCCTCCAGTGAGGCTGAGAATGTCACGTCATTTCAGCTCACCAGAATTACGACGTTAATGTCCTGTACAACAGATCTCAGATCCTAAAGTACCAAGAGCTACTTTCAGACTGTACTCCCCATCTGATAATTAACAAAACCATATTTTAGCATAAGAGTTAGAGATCGGTATATTGCCTGGATAGACACAATGCTCAATGGGTACATCAAAGCTAGGTTCACTGAAAGATCGATACAGTTTTCTCCACTATATAAGACTCAGGTTAGAGATTAGAGGAATATATATATTTCCTTTTACAACATCATATATTACTAAGCAACAGTTAAACAGTCAATCTGAGAGACAAAATGAAACATGACACACCATATTACTGTAGTGTGGTGTGAAATGGAAATTATGTTTTGGCTGCATTTACTTAAGACTAATACACTACAATGAAGTCCATGAAATGCTGCTGTCCTAGCATAATATACAGTACATTTGATATATTTTTCGGAGCAATCATTATATGCATTTGTCTCTACTAGACTACAATTAGGCTTTTTGAGCTGCTCTAGTGTTTAGACTTAAAGATCACAAATCGCAAGGAACTCTGCCTCTGGTTCCAAGTGGAGACTGCTTACCTAAAGAAATGCACAAGGTCTGCTGCGTATATACAGTACAGTCCAGATTTACAGCACGAGGGTCTATCTTGGGAGTAAAATGAGCAACAGACCAAGTTCCTCATTCTGAGTGAACCCAACTAAAACCATAACATCTTCTGATGCCAAAAGCATTGAAAGAGCTTTGCCGTGTGCAGACATGCAGAACACAGGTAGGAAGGTTCCACACGAGCCAGTTACATGATATCGATCTCTCTCTCGATCCCAACGTACTTTAAAGCATCTGCTTGGCTGTATCTGGAAAACAGAATCAGAATCAGCTCGGCATGATTAAAACACCACCTTCAGAAACACGTCATTCTGAGCTGGCAGCAGTCCCTCAGTAGTCCCTAAAGGGGATTTTCTGGGTTCAGCCACAGAAATGGCCACTTGCAACCTCAGAAGATTTGGTGCACAGCGTGTCCCTTTGCCTTAGAATAATTTTACAGCTTTCTACATCTCCAGAGACCCCGTTCCCAGCCAGCCTAAAATCTGTTCACATTAAGCCTAAAGCACCCCCAGTTGACACTTCACTGGCTAGATCTCGCCCACTTGTCAGCACAGCTTTTTAAATGTGCCCACAGACAGCACCATAGAAGATCATGCGCAGTTGTCACTGTCAAGCTCAACATGGAAACCTGTATTTAAACTCAAACATTTTGACAATGAATGACTGATAAAGGCCACACCAGTTCAGCACGTCTCCAAAACACTTTTTGTATTAAGAATCTTCTACAGAACTGCTAATATTATTTACCTTCCTCGGGGCACTGTAACGGATCGCACAGGACGTTTGCGGAAAGTTAGCACTCAAGTCTATTCCTCTGTCCAGATCTGAACCCGTCCCATGAACTGACTTTCCGATTGGCAAGCAATGTGCAGCTGGCTTGGAGAGCCCAAGACAGACTTCCTCAAACAGACCTCAATCTGTGATGAGCCCAGTCCCAGATCTCAATCTGGTGACAAGTGGGAAGGAAAACTAGCTGACAGAGGGGAAGGGATTGGGCAGCACATACTTCAGAACCACGTTCTGCACTAATCAAGCTGTTCTTGCAATTCACAGGGATCCAGCATGTTATTTGCCAAAGGTTTTGCCAGTGAGCTACACAGGCTCTTACATAAACTACAATTAACAATTGTTTGTTAATAAATTAAACAAGAAAAGAAACAGGATCATATATTGTCCTGCTTCAGTCACAGTTGACTTATACAGACAAGATCTTTACCTGTAGTCAAAGAAAAGCTCCTCTCCTTTTTGAATGGCTCTCTTAGCAAAGATTCCTATCCGGTGGTCTCCATTCACCATCACAACTGAAATAACAGACAGATAGAAGCAGGAAGACCTCCTCTGACACAAATTCTAAAGCTTTCTGAGCATCAGGGGAAAAACTAAAGACAAACTGGGAAGGCAAAAGACGAGAGTGTGACTTGAGCTGAAAGGCACGTCTTGAAACCTGATCAACATCATGTGAATAAGCGATGATGACTTATACAACAGAAAAATAAGGGAAAAAACTTCTGCAGATTTGATCATTCAAGCTCACAGAATTACAAAGGGCATTCCCCTGGAAAAACAAACTTTATAAAGTATTAAGTGATAACCCGAAAAAAAAAAGTGTATATCTATGGGTTCTTACCTTTAGCGTAACAGTTGGGGTTGACAGAATGATTGGCAAAACGGATTTTGTTTCCTTTGCGGGTTGCATCAACGACAAAATCTGTTGGGAGGAAAAAAAGCCCATGATGCTTGGCGACAGTCGCCTCATTGAACAGTCTGCCACTGCAACCAGTTCAGGCATCTGTCCTATCCAGACATTGCTGGTTCGGTCGAGACAACCCGAGCAGCAGTGGGCGATAGGCCCAGTGCCAGTGTGCTCTCAGCTGGCTGAGCAACAGCGCCCCACTGTGGCTTTGCCAGGTACCCGAGAGCTTGTACAGAGTGCCCAAATGCATTGCCGCTGGAACGTCAGAACGCCAAGACAAGTGGACAAAATTCCAGTATTTCTTATTTTTGGCAATATATAGAATTTTTAGGAATTTAATCCTTTATTTTTGCTCATCGGGAAATGCTAAATAAACCTACCTGATATTAGTGACCAATCAAACAGGACTGCTTAGAAAATACATCTTATTCTAAAGGGTTAGATGAGTAATCGACTTATTGAATCGGTAACTGAATCGACCGAGATGCTGATGTTGCAAAAACAACTGGCAAAATGTAAGTCTAATTTGATGGTTATTTTTGAGACAAATGTACAATATGTCTACATGGTCTTTCAAACAATATCAAGGGTCAGTATACTATACGTGAAAATATACTGGCTTGCAGCATGACGCTCATTCCCGTGAAAGTCCTTGGCAAACTTGAAGCAAAACTCCTGAGAGCTCAAAGCCTCTTTCCCTTTGTACAGGTCACCAGCCCATCCCATCCAGTCAACCCAGCCAACAGCCGAAATACAAAAACCAATGCAACCGGCCAAAGCCCACAAGAGCACAGGGACAAATGCAGTTCGGCCACACGCAGTATTAACGAGACTGACATTTTTCAAATAATCGTCATGGTAAGGATGCAGGTTTTTCGTGAATGAACGAGTCTAAAGACGTCGAGTGCCAGGGCATACAGTACAGTATGTCCACAGACTGCACATACATTCACAGGCAGAGTGAGACACACAGACGCACTGAAACTCCAGTGCGTGAGCTGGCGCTGCACGTCAGCTGTACAGAAAAGGCCCTCTCATTTCATCGCTGCCGACACGTACCGTTGTTCAGGTTGAAGAGGAAGCTGGACATGTATTTATCGTAGATCCTCCCCCTTCGGTCAGCTTCGTCCTGGGAGATCAGCTGCAAAGAGAAGCAGAGGGAGCAGGAAGGGTCAGTCTGTCGGCTCTTCTTCTGGCTGCAGACCTCCCTAAAGCAGCGGTTCTTGACCTCTGCTGCAGCCCGAGATCTGTTCTCCCACCCCTGATCAAGAATCGCCCACGCAGGTCACTTCTAACATACTGTATGTCAGAGCTATAGAATGAAAGAGGTCACAAGATCATTTCTTTTTGGAATGCGTCTTTTCATTTGGCAATAAAACTCAGAATACATGACAAAATAAAAAATAAATTAGGTTTATTTAAATTAGGTGGACCCAGTGGTACTGTACATGAACCAGATTCCACTGCGCCGCAGGGCACAGTTCTCACAATGCTGGCTTCTGCTTCTCTAGCAACCTGCACATTCAGGAAGAGGCAGGAGTGGGGGTGTTGTCTTCAAAGCCTCTTAACTAGGACACAGCCCTTCACTTTTTCAGTGTAACTGTGTATAATCACAACTGCTGTGACTACAGACCTAAGCAGTGAGGAGACTGAGAAAAGGCTCAAGACATAAAAAGTATAGAAAATATGCCACTAAGCATCCACTTTTCTAAAAAAAAAAAATGTATTCACCCATTACATACCCATCCAATGTGGAATCGCTAATTATATGTGTTTTGAAATTCCTTCAGCTCTTGAAACCAAATACGGAGTGCTGTTTGCCAGTCTAAACGAGCAAGTGGATCAATTACATTCAACAGTCAAAACTAGTGATTATGAACCCGGCTGCAAAGGAGACCAGCAGACCCTCAGGACCAGGACTGAAAACCACTGATTTAAAGACATGGTACAGTAACAGTAATAAGCAGGGCCAGGACTTTATGCCCCTAAAAACCGTACTGTTACACTGACTTTATTCACCATGAAGTCATACTGTTGTCAGACTTGCCTCTCCACAGTACTCGGAGATGAACTCATTCTTCTGAACTGGCTCCTTGATGAAGGTCCCCCATCCAGCAACGTCTGATGGAGCCAGTAAGAGATGCTGAAAGGCAAGAGTCAGGGCATAACGGCAAGGGCAGCAACACAGCAACTGATCTCCCTGTCGCTCGGCATTGTGCGACTGCAGAGATCCTGTGGAGTCAGAGCTCCCGCAGTCACTGGGCTCCATCGAGCTGATGAACAGTGAAGGACAATGACGGGTTTGCAGTATCTTTGCCAAACTAGAGTGGATGAAGGCCGTTTCAGACCGTGTAAGTTTCCTAGAAGAAAGTCTCTAAAGGAGGATATTTTCTGGTGTTTGGATGTGTGTAGGTATTGTGTTGAGCGCCCCTAATGCCTGCTGTTCAGAATATACTACTCTGAAAAGCTTATAAAGCAGTGATTTAACAAAAATGTGTGACTGAGAGCGTGGTAAAAGCAGCACATTATGTGGGCAATTCTGGGCACACAGCAGGCTGGCAGCCATGCCCTAGAGCAGTCTACACAGTCGTCCTGGGTACCAACCAAACTACACATCTAAATGCACTTCAACGTGAAGAACATTAATGTTTCATTTGCAGATTTAAAAACTTAGAAATCAATTCGAGTATCTTGATTTCTGCCTTTCGCTCCTGTGAGTTACTGGCTTTCATCGAAGCTGAGCTCTCCACTCAGTTAAGCTGAGCTCTCAAGACATTAAGCAATAAATAAACACGCTGAATTAAAAGGGTGTGCAGGTGTGATAAAGTCCACAGCTGTCCAATGCTTTCAGATGTCGTGATGTCATTGACAAGCCGGGATGGAGCCCAGGAGGCCTGCAGTGAGGTGAGGAGGAGCTCTGACTGGCTGCCTGTTGCCGTGGCGATCCCCCCACCTTCTTGAGCCCGCGCTGGATGCTGCAGTTCTTGCAGGACAGGTTCTTGCTGTCCCAGTGGTCGGCCGCCCCGCAGGTCATGCAGAGGTCGGGGTCGCACTCGCGCACCGCCAGGTAGCAGGGGCACTGCTTGGTGTTGCACTGGGTCTTGCAGCGACAGCCGGGGAAGCGGTTCTGGCCTGCGGGGAGAGCATCAGGTCAGGAGGACAGAGGGAGAAGGGGGGGCTGTCTGGCCGCGCACCCCAGTTCGCTGCTACAGCTTCTCCACCCAGCCTGCAACTCCAGCACAACGCAGCACCACATACTCAGCAGCACTCAATGCTGTCCAGCATTTTTATGCCATCCCATTTAAAATTTCGGGCTCTATTCAATACATTAAGGACGCACATGATTGACAGAAGTGTTGCCCTGTGCCAGAATGTAGGTTAACTGCACGGGCAAGTTAAGACCATTTACCAGCACCTTCGTGAACTCTCATTCCCCGCAGGACATGCTGTAGTACAATTCACTCTGCACATCTTATGTCTAAGCATCCCGGAGTGTGTTAAAACATGAAATGCAAAAAGTATTATGCAGTTCTGGCCTTACTGACAACCCACACTAGGTTATTTTTGAACAAAAGCTTTTTTAAACTGACTGTTCCCTACAGATTGGGTTTGTCAATTAATTTTCCTTCTGGGCATTAGTACGGCAGCTCAGCTTTCTGAGTCTAAAACCCGTGTTCCGGCTCAAGATGGACTAGAATTGAGCAAGCTTTCCTCCAGAACAATTTTCCTCCACAATATCAGCCATGCAGGGCCCGGGAGGTCAGGGTGCTGATGTCATGTCAACACCTCAAGCTCACAGGGATCACGGCCGCCTGGCAGGTTGAGGGGCCTGTCTGACTGCTGCTCACAGAGACCTGGCAGCGCCCAGACTCCTGGGGCACCCTGGTCCAAGCTGGCTAATAAAACTACACTCGACGAGGGTCTTCACTAATGGAACCCTAGGAAATGTCCTTCAAGCCTTGAAAGTCTCACCAGCAGAGGAAGTTCATGAAGTCTGAATCTGGACATCTGTCCTGGTGGGATTTCTAAGTTCTTGCTGCCTGTAATTACCGTTGTCCAACAACGAAAAGTTTTATTGATAGTCATTTTCTATTAAATGAAGCATTCCTATATGAGCACATCTTCCTTTATCTTTTTTACACCAAAACAAAAGGTCTGGCCGTGTAAGCGCACAGCTTTACAGTTATTCCCACTGAATCCGAATCACTTCACCGCCTCATTCTCTGGTGATAAACATTCTCTGGTGCGCTGTGAACACTCTCCGAAGGCACCACAAAGCTCTGCATTCTGACAAGAACATGCTAATGATTTTGAGACAAAGGGAACCATCAGCATACTTTCCCTCATGTCGCTTTTGTCGTAGATCTTTTATGCCTTTGCTATAAAAAAAAAATCCCATTGAAAAACAGAGCTTTTGAAAATAGATTTGGAAAGCCTCCCATGAGCACAACAAAGAGAATCTTATGAAGTTCCTGATACTCATCCAGCCACCACAGATTTCTAATTACACTGAGCCCTCTGTGTATATTTAGTGCCTCAAGCTGGGGTCCTGAAAATAAAGGCTCAGCTCTGGAAGAGCAACACATCCAGTGTTGTAGGCCTTCCTTATAGTCTCTTAACAGATACAATACGAGGTACACTCGTTGACATCCGCGCTGTTCTGTCATTCTTTCTTGTGAGGGTACAGACTTCTGCACATGGCCTGGGAATGATCTGAGTCTGTTCTCATACTCAAAGTTTTTATTTCTTCATTAGCAAGATTCCTCAGCTAATTCTTAATCCAGAGGCTAGGAACCCATACATGGGTTTAAAGGTTTCCAATACATTTCTACACATTTAACCTTGGTATATTCACCATTTCCTGGATGTTCTGATGTGGCTTTCTTTATGTGCTTCTGCTGCGAGGCACTGAACGTTAAACACGGTAAAACAATGACCTTTAAAAGGACAAAAAATTCAAGCCTGAAGTGACATGAGAGATGGAAGGAGATCTCTCTCAGGTGGCAGGGAACAACTCACATTCATGGTCACACTGGCAGAACTTCTCGCAGAAATTCTGGGTCATGACACAGGGGCAGGAACTGTCACATGGGTGCTCTGGGTGGTCACACGGCTGGTAGTTGTACACTTGATTGGATGAATTGTCTGAGGAACATTAAAAAGAGGAGGAGTGTTAAGTTCATTTGTTTCATCAGTTCTTTTCCCCTTATGTTGGATGGACATCTTATAATTATACTTCTATAGCATTTTACATCACAAAGGATCCAGCAGAGGACGCACACACAACGGTTTCACCACTGAAGTGAGCATTTAGGATGCCAGATTGTTCAAGGACAAAGTGGAATATAACCAGGACATCTGGTAAATACCATGGTAAACACCTCTACCCTTATTAGTATGGGATCTTAAAGCACATCTTTAATGTTTAATGTGTTGTCTAATTGAAGGAACCTCCAAGAGTGTCCTCTGTCACCACACTGGGATTGGAAATTCTTGTCCAGGGGCAAAAACTACACATACTGTTCCACCAGTAGCACTCAAAGCTTCAACCTGGTTTTCCCATGAGGTCTTCCACCCCAGTGGTGACCAGGCTGTGCCTTGCTGAGCTTGCTGAGCTTCCGAGACGCTGTGATGTCTCTCCTCACTCTTCAAGAGCTACTCACGCGAGTGGCTGATTGAGTGATTGAAACAGCACTAACGCTGCGTTTTTTCTTCTAGATATGTTCAGACACAAGTCCGAGACAGCCACCTGCAGTGGATTAAAGCCGTTACCTCTACTCCTACCTCTGAAACGTGTACCGTTTTGAGATCAGAGGAACAGCAGTCACTGACCTTTCTTCAGCTGAATCTTCCGACAATGTGCCGCCCACAGCCTGAAACCAACAAACACGACATTTCACACTTGTTTTTCGAACAGCCAGATACTGAAACCAGGAGGAAGTATGGAGTCACAGCAGCACTTTTAGCCCTTTTCAACAAGTCCAGTACAGGTTCTCTAGTGGCTAACTGCTGGTCAGCTACCTCACTCTGCAATGAGTCCACAGCAGACCTAGACTTATCAATTTACCACCGGCTACACAGGAATTAAAACTAAAAGCAGAGAGGTGTGGCAGCTACTAATTTTATAGAATTGGGGGAAATTTCACAGTTCCTTATTTCATCCCTTAAATTCCATGGGAAATTTTGTTGTGGGGAAAACAATTAATACCTACACTGTATAGCCCGTAATAAATGAATGGACTACTTGTCATTACTGAAGGGGAAGGCAAGGCCCTTGGTGTTTCTAATGACTGACTGTTGTAAAGGGGACTGGGTTTGGTAACCATGAAATATTTTCTACTGTGTTTCTCAATGTGAGACACTATTAGTGACACAGAAATGTTCTTTATATGGAATCTGACACCGTGTAAACAAATAATATTATCTGTCAGATAAATAGCCATGGGACAACGAGCTGGGCTAGCTTATTACTTCTGGCATGTCGATTTTCAAAAATAGTACAAATCCTTGGTGCAGCACACTGGGGAAGCTTTTCTTCTAGGGTGAACTGTGTGCTCAATAAATACAGAAGAGCTGTCATTTGCAACAATACTTATCACACATAATGTGTGAATAGTCTGATTTCAGATACAGGGTGCCATTCCTTATCAACGGGGTCTCATATAATGTGTAATATATATATTACATAGAGTCCAAGGGCTATATGTCATTGCTGATTGACATAAATGCATGAAATGTGTTGACAGCATAACCCAAGAAAAGGAAAGCACACAAGAGCATTTACTGACTCAGACTGCGGAGCCAGAGGGTACATGAAATGCCTATTCAGAAACAGCATGCCTTCCTGTTGTTTGTTTGTACATGGAACAATGGCTCTCAGACAGCACTTGACCTAGATTTCACTGCTGGCTGTTCTTGAGATGCTTTTAAAGTTTAAAAGGTAAAGGCACAAGCCCAGACTCCCAGCGCACAGAAAGCTGACCTGTGTTTAAAGGTAGGCAAGGGAGTCATACTGACCCACTTAAGGCTATCCGATCTCAAAGGATCGCAGTGGGAAATTCAGCAGAGTTTGTATTCTTGACTTATAAAAATCAAGCATCCCTTCCTACTGTATTAATCTATCTAACATGCTTTGGACATTGTAAACCCATAGATATGGACAAACACAATCAATGACTGCAAGTGGGTTAGCAAAGCTTTTTTCCTCAAATATTATTTTTTGACATTCATGACTTTAATGAAAATGACTTTTCATTAATTTCCTACATGCTTACAACGAATAACTTCCAAACAGAAACAGAGTGCAAACTGTTCTCAGCAGTATATCGTCTTGTACACCTTGTCTGTATTATGTTTCAGTTTGAAATATGTTTGTGTTGTGTGCCTAGCTTTTGTGTTCGTGAAAGGACCTGGAATCGGAAAGTTAGCATCAGTAACTTGGGACAGTGGAGAGGTTGATGTTTTGTAACAAAACAGATTGTTCTAGGATCAGTTCCAAGAAGGGCAACAAGACTGACCCCTGGCTTTAGAGATTTACAAAGGGCAGTTAAAAACTGAATTATTTAGCCTTGGCAACATGGAAATCGAAGGGACTGGACAGAAGAGTTTAAAATCTTCATCCCAACAGAGTGGCAACTACGAGGAAGCACATGCAGAACCAGGAAGGGTTGTGGGAGTCTGGAATAACCCACCCAGTTAGGGAATCCGTTTAAGATCCTTGGATCATTAAGCTATTAGAAACCCAATGATCAAGGTCTGCTAAATGGTCTCTTCTCATTACTAACATGTCTTATGTTTTTACATTCATTCTATGAAGAGGTACAAGGTCTTGGTAATCAAATAATTGGCTAAATGAATTATGAATCTATTTAAAAGTGAAGGGACATAATTAATTTCATGATTGATCTGTGTTTAATGGCAACCAAATGGCGGTACTAACTCTTCCCAATTTTCTGACCTTTAGCTTTGAAGCACATCTTCTAATCTCGGCATCTGGCTCCCTGCCAACTCCACCTGTTGTGGCTGCACAGGACTCACTTCATTTAAGATAAGAATGTCTTGCCTGTGTTTTCTCTTTTTCTTCTGAGGAGAAATCCCTCCATCTTCAATGGGTACACGGTGGATGAGGGCCTCTTTCACAGCAAAATCGTAGACCTGCAAGGAGTCAACCACCCTGCTCAGACACCCAATCTGTGAGCCCTGTACTCTTCACAGCAAGGCATGGAACACCATGATACTTTGTAAGGCCATGCTGCAAACAAGCCATTAACCCCACAGATGCTGGTAATGTGCATTTATACAATAATTTAAGCAATCTTTAAATTACTAGCAGTTACGTCCACATTGTAATACTGTTTCAGAACTGAATTATTCAAACAACAAATGATGATTGACAACCCTTTGGACAAAGTTTTAAAAAATTATTAGCGCTCCTTTATAATAAGGGCTCTATGCACAGATTCACTTAAGGTTAATGACAGTTCCAGTTTTCTGTATGACAGCAGCTTGTGTTGATATCAAGTCAAAGACATTATCAACGGGTGTTACCCTAACACAGCCAAATATAGTTTAAGATTACACTGCAGTGTGCAAGAACTTGGCTAAACCCTTCATTCTAAATTTCGCTCTGCCAAGAATGGATTTGGCAGACTTTCTTTCATTAAAATAATGTTCACAAAACTGAAGCTGGTTTCAAGCCACAAGGGTTCTGGGAAAGACGATATCGGACGCAAGAAGAGTATTGAGTGACAATACACAAAAACACTGAGGGTCTTTATGAAACAACATCCTATTTTTTCAAAAAATATTTGAACTAGATAATTTTTCTAGAACATATAACTAGGTGAAAGAGAGTCTGGCTTCTATGCCGTTTTGAGCAGCTCAACAGGAATTCTGCATTACATTTTTATTCCTATCAGCAACGATCATTCAATAACGTTTGTTTGACCTAGAATTTGCACCAAGGTGGCCCAATGTTAGAACTTTTAAATGCATGAAAATACATTTGAGGCACCACGTAGTTTTCAAGTTTTCTACTTCTCCTCCAACTCTGCATTATGTCAAATCAATATTTGTATGATTATTACTATCTCATTGTCAACCGCCTATCCTCTGTCAGAACGCTGCTGTATTCATGCAGCACAACAAATGGACGATTTAGAGACACCAGTTAACCTAAACTGCATGTCAATGAAAGGTGGGAAGAAACCAAATTAAATAGCTATGAAGCTTTGAGTTTGTAGAGTTATCATCCACCTGCCTCTGTGCCTTCCTTCCTCAATATCTGGTTATCATTTATAACTGCAATTACATATTTGCCATTAAGTATTTCTCCAGCTTAGAGACCTCAGAGGCTGTTTGGACCACTGTGGAACAGCTCTTAGCTCCCTTTATTGAAACTGAAAACACATTGGATAAAATACATTTATAAATGTATATACATTTGCATGCAAATGTTTAAATGTGTAAGGACAACGTTAACTTTCTGACGTTCAGATTGAGCTGGTTGTAGTTTAATGATGAATAAAGATACTTTAAAACATGTTTTTGCTGGCGAACCATCAGGACAGGATAGATCACTGCCAAATTAAGGACCTAAATAAAGTCAACACACGACACCCAGATAACAGGACATTTTCCTCAATGCGCTCGCAATTTTAAGTATTGAAACTGGTCAAGTTTTAAAGAATTATGGAGTCGAAAAGAGATGATTGATTCTGCTCGCTTGAACACATGCTTGGAAAATTAGCTGAATTTTAAAGATGTAGATGTAGAGGTGCTGGCACTGTGACAAGTAATAATTAAGTTCATATAGCGCCTTTCATCCCAAAAATGATCTTCAAGGATTCTACCTTTAAAAGCGGGAACCCATTTCATCCACTGCAACACCCAAGTGGGGGAAAATTACTTCACCATTGGAATAAAGGGGGAGATTCGGGGAGGTCAGACTATGCACACCTAGAGTGGAATTGAGCCAGGATACTGGGGTTAACACGAACCGGACGGCTTCTCCTACACACAGGCAACTGCGGTTACCTGGGCTTTGGATTGCAAAGAGCACCACCTACTGGTCTACACCACTTACAGCAGCAGCATGGTTTTCCATAGAGGTTTCCCATCCCAGTACTGCCCAGCCCCGGACGGTGATCGCGGCAGGGGCGTGAGCACGCGAGTACCTGCTTGCAGGTCTTGGTGCCGATCAGCTTTGAGATGGAGCAGAAGTTGTTGTAGTAGGTGCCGTGCAGGACTCTGAACAGCGACTCCTCGGCCCCGTTCCACTGCACTGCCTCCACCTCCTCCAGCGGCTCGCCGCCCTGCTTCATCTTGATGGGCGTCTGGCAGCGCGAGTTTCCCTCTGCAGCCAAGAGCAAGTTTAATGATTTCATGAGCAAAGGTGATTGCTGGGGGCACAGGTAACACATCCCTAGCCGAGTACACAATATCCTTACAGTAATATTTCTTAGACTTATATAGGGCTGTTCTGAACTCTAGGGAGCTCCTCTCCACCACCAGTGTGCAGCTCCACCTGGATGATGTGACGGGAGCCGTAATGCACCAGTACGCTCCCCACACACCAGCTCTCAGTGGGGAGGAGAACAGACTGATGAAGCCAGTCCAGGGATGGGGGTTATTAGGAGGCCCTGATTGGTAAAGGCCAGGGTGAAATTTGGCCAGGACACCAGGATAACACCTCTGCTCTTTTCGAGAAAGACCCTGAGATTTTTAATGACAACAAAGAGTCAGGACTCCGGTTTTATGTCTCATCCAAAGGACAGCGCTTTTTACAGTATAGTGTGCTCATCACAGGAACCACACAGAAACCACACAGACTACAGGGTGAGCGCCCCCTACTGGCCCCACTAACACCTCCTCCAGCAGCAGCCCCAGCTTTCCCAGGTACTGGCCAGGCTCATACCTGCTGAGCTCCAGTGGGCCACCAGCTGGGAGCTGCAGGGTGACAGAGCTGCTGCCAGAAACCCCACTGTCTCACGGGCTGACCGTATCTGGATTTCCCTAAGTGATGGTGCACACCTGGCCTGGCGCTACCAGGGGGTGAGAGAACTGGAATTAGTTATGTTTTCCCCCACCTGCTGCACAACGGCACCTCCTGAGCATGCTGGACCCCCGCAGGGGACAGGTGGGAGCACCACAGGGGTGGGTAAGCACAGGTCCTCTTTCTCACCGTGCAGTGCACAGTTTGCAGCGGTGAGCCAACATCATGAATAAACGGCGCTTCCGAATTAAACAGGCACAGAACACAAAATAATAGCCCGTTTACATTTTTATAAAAATACATTCTATCATGATAGCACAGAGAAAGTTCAAAACAGCACAGTAATTCACTGAATAAATGCCCTATACATTAGGCCTATTCGACTCCTGCTTTTACAATGAGGGCCAAGGGAGTATTCCAGTTAATAAGCCAAGGCAATGGCCAGATGTGATAACAGCTGCAGGGGTTCCAATCAGGGGGGAAATGCCTTCACAGTGTGAACTCCGAACCTTTGCCACTTGTTTCCACAGCTGCGCCCCAAGTGCAAACACAGAAAAACACCATTAATAAAAATCACCGTCTGGGCAAATTAATTGTGATGGTTATTACGTATTTTCAAAGCTGTTTGTCATTCAGAGGAATGCATTCTAATGTTAAAGAGAAAGTTGGTGCTGGCAACACAGCAAGGCAAGAGAGAGGAGATTCTCCTGCTGGGCTTTCCCATGGAGCCAAACACGGTTAAAATAATATCCACCCCCCCCCTCCCACCTCCCCCAGTAAAAGGCATCCAAGCGTGCAAGACCACAGGAAACCACTCAGCGTTTTGTTTTTGTTATTAAGGGATCTGTGTATTATTGTTTCCGAGGAGCACAGAGGAATTCTGCGAAAGCGTTCGTGCTGTCCAAAACAACTGATGTCGTAAGTCAAGCACATCACTACCCATCTTTTAAAGATTAGAAAGAGGAAAAAGAACAAACAACAACGGGAAAAAAAAAGAACGCAGCCACACAGGAGTTCATCGGGAAAGAGAGAAACAGGCGGCTTGATCTTTCCATTCCCTTCTTGTGCCAAGAAACTAAAACCCAGCGCTGCTTGGCGAGTCGTCAACAGCAGAGCTGCAGCCACAGCCTGTCACTCAACCTCCTGCACAGGCGGCTGTTAAACTCTCTTGCACAATGTCAGTGGCTTCGGCCTGCATCTGTTTTTGTCATGAAGAACTCTTCCTTCAAGACGCACGTCTGCCCTTTGCTCTGTGTACGAAGCACGGTAAAGCCCGGTCTGTGTGTGGGGCCCTTCTCTATCACATCATCAGGGGCTTCTTCTTGACACATTACACTGACTGCACTCTAAAATGTCTTTTATTTCTGCCGGCGGGTGTGGGGGGTTTGACAACAACAAACCCCCAGCTTGTCTGCTTGTTGCGAGTGCTTCGGCCTTGGTTTCGGATTTCATTTCCTTTTTGGAAATGTAAGACAAAATTAAGACCGCTGGATCTAATCAGAATCTTAAAAAAACCTATTTATGCACCAAAACAAATGAAGATCTTCTCCATGAACTATCTATCGTATTAATCAATGACAGTGACTACCTTACGTATGCAGGCTGAAAGCAGAGGTGTGTGAAGAACTTTTTGTGGATTCCGTAAGAGAAGATCACACAGAACTGAGTGTCAGACATGAAGAACCCAGATAAAAACTTAACACATTCTTGTGCTGAATGATTAAAGGAAGAGGTGCAGACAAATGGGCTTTACTAGCAAAAAAGTTATATCAAGGCAGCTTATAATGTACTGTTAACAATATAGTACACAGACACAACAAAGCTGCAAGATGTGTTGGGCTTATCTTTAGTAGCTGCTCATAAGGTGAGGCACATGCTACGTTCAACGGATTTCCAACCCAACCACCACCACCACCACCACCACCAAAACACACTGTAACTAGTTAGATGTCAGTTAACACAGAGCAACACTAGTCAACCACTTGTTGATGGGACACAGAGATTCCTGTCAGAACCTGCTTTCATCAAGGGGAAAAGCATCAGGGATTGGACTGCATGCCAATCATCGGAGAGGCAGCAGATTTGTGGTAAAACAGACTCTCCACCGCCAAAGTATGAAGCATCACATTCTAGGTTATTTAACACTGACCACTTTGGCACAAAATAAATTTGCCTGAAAAAGTGTGCTGTCAAATTTTGCAAAACTTAGTAGGAAGCGCTTTTCCCAGTATGAGTTACAAATACAAAAAAATAACATGCACACTGAAAATGAAGAAAAATGTGCAGTATGTCACCTTGGGATTTCTAAGATTTAAACAAGTTCCTCATTGTGTTACCTTGATACCTGCTGCATGTTAAAACGTGTTTTAAGAGGATAATGTTAGGAAATCCCCTTCAGAGTATTAAATTACTTTCCACCCAATAGGCTTGAGAGCAGACCAATATGAACAGTTTACATGTGGGCTGAGTTACTGTGCCGTTACACTCGGAGTTCATAGGCAATTCATCACCTCTGTCCTCTTAAAGGCAGTAATTTTTCACAGCGCAGAGGCTGAACAAGGCTGGGCTTGAGCAGGACTTGGAAAGAACACACGTAATTAGAAACACTGACTATTCTGAAAGGAAAGCGTGGGTGCATCTGGAAATGTGGGTGGAGAAACAGGAGGAAAGCTTCCTTTGGACCACAGATTACAAACCTGTGCTGTAGGAGCGTACAGGAATTCTAGGATATGCCATCTCACAGACAAGAAATTAATTCAAGATCCTGGCTACGGATGGACAGTAAAGATCTCACTGTCCAGCTGCTCTCTATATCAAGACTACACAATTTAATACTCTCTATACAAGGTCTCTGAGCTGTTATTAATGTGGAATGTTAATGCTGCAGCATACTCCTGAGCGTACCTGAGGAGCTGGTGGTCTCGTGGTCACTGTCCCCCTCCTTGCTCTCTCCTGCAGAGGTGGACGAGGTGGACGAGCTTGGACAGCTCGAGCTGGGCACCCGGGGGTGGCGGCGCCGTCGCCGTGAGCGGTGAGACCTCAGCATGTTCAGATCGGCAAACTCCTTCGCCCCTTTCTGCAGGACAGGAAGAGAGCGAGGTCAGAGGTCAGGGGTCAGGGGTCAGGAGTAAAAAAAAGATTTAAAGAGCACTTTAGACAGTCCTGTTGAAGCGGTCCCTCACTGATACTGTGGCCATTCCACAAAGGGAACTAAGCACTAAAAGCAGAACAGGTTTTGGGATTGGGACAAAAATAAAGTACTTTTGATGAGCGTAGACTTTTGACTAAATTCATTTATCACTGCTGGGATAGTCTCACTCAACAGCAGTAATGCCTTATTATCTTGAAGTTAATACCTTGACAAGTAAGCCTTGGAAGGGATCGCCTGGGTAGAGCTCCAATCTCTGGAACCCCAAAAATAAGATCTAATACAAAGCCTGGTATGCTTAAAGGACATCAGGCTTTGATTTTATACCAGTGGGTTTGTTAGCAGAGCATTTCCAAAACCAGTCTTTTTCTCATATTCAGCCCTCACCAGCAGAAGAAAGCATTCCAGTCCACAGGGCTCGGTCTCTATGCGAATCTCTTTATTCTTCCTCTTGTACGCGTTGGGAGTGGCGTGGAAGGCTACAGATGGAGGAAAAAGTGATTTAAAGAGCTCCATGATAACATGCTTGTGGAGAGTCGTCGGGTTGCTTGGACGAGTAGGAGAGCGAGCGAGCGCGAGAAGACAACAGCGAGAGAGGGAGTCGGAAACGGGGGGGGGAGCTGCCCTGTGACCTTACGGTGCAGGAAACAGTCGTATTTGAAGCAGCGCCGGCAGAAGAGCGTGTGGAAGGAGTGGAGGGACTGTTCGCGCTGCACAGACTTGGCACACGGCCCGTCCATGTTGGGGGTGCACTGAGGGGGCAGCTTGACAGGGCTGGGGGGCTCCAGCAAGTCCTTGTACCTGCGGGAGGACAGGGGGCAGGGTTGGTTGGTGGGTCAAGTACAGAACTGGTGAGAAATGTCCAGTTGAGAATATGAAAAGGGTTGGAAATGAAAGAAGGCCGTTTGGCCCACCAGGCAAAATATGGCTTAAAAGCAGCTAATTAATCCAAGGATCTCGTCTTGTTATTTCCTGAAAGAAGCCAGGATATCGGCGTCAACAACATGGCTGGGTCGCTTGATCCAGACACCCACAACACTTTGTCCAAGTAAGTGCCGCCCCGTTCTTAGTTATAAACACACTCCCCCATAGCTTCCACTTGTGTCTTTATTGACTCAGTGTGTCACTGCTGAATCTGAAGAAGTCCACTGGGCTGACTTTATCAATGCCTTGAAGTCCCGTCTGGCCAAGACTAAAAAAGATTCAGTTCACTGTCCACTGGATACAGACCAGAAATTTTTGCAGCTATAAAGACTGCCCTTAACCCCCTGGAAAAACTACCTGCGCTGTGCTTTAAACATCGAGAGCACGTCTGTACTGTTGCAGAAACAAAACATAAGGAATGATAAATTCCTCTTCCACACAACTCCAATTCTTCTCATTCTTAACCAACTATCCAACTCTGTTCATACCTAGTTCCTTACCTACTGCTCCCTTCATCTCTCTGCCCCCTCCTCTCTCCAATCCTCCTTACTCTCGTCCTCTCTGTTCCTCTTCTGCTGGCTGTTCCCTCTCTTCACCCTGCTGCCTCTTGAGCTGCTTGTTCTCCTCCCTCTCTCCCCTGTGGTGGAACCAGATACTGTACCTAAGACACATCAACACTGCACTGCCTCTGACCAGCTTCCAAAGTCTCCTGAAAACACACCTGCTCAGACTGCGCCCATAGATCCCAAAATCTTTCCCCCATTCCTGGAACCCTTAATCCGTTATCATGACACAGCTTTAATTCGTAACTCCACAGTGTGCCTGCTGTTCAAGGGCGTTGAAACACCTCATCTCATTCACAGTAATCGCCGTATCTTGTATTGTTTTGTCTAACATACAATTTATTACATATCATACTGCATTTTTAACTCTTCTGTTAGGCCACCATAACCATAACATTATATTTCTGTCTTTTGTTTGCCATCATTTTGAATTATGTAACTGAGTTTAAATGCCAATTACCTGGGACAAAGGCATCAGCTAAATAACCAGAACCAACCATAAAATAAGCAAGAAGCTCCTTACTTTTCCTTCAGCTCCTCTGTAGTGCCTTTGTAGGGAAACATCGAAGCTATAGCTTTGAAAATCTTATCATGGGGAATCTTCTTATCTGCTGGATCGTTCCCTGGAAAATAAGAGGAAACGCGCATTAAGTCAGGAATATCCAGCATAAACAGCTTCAGTACGATGTTATGCTTAAAGAAGCAGAAGAACGTTTTATTTCATACCTGCTAAGGTTCCTGGTTCCTTGTGTTTCCAACAACTGTTTTTTTTTTTTTTTGCCAGGCACACAGACATTGCAAAGGTACAACAAGGGCTTTATCAATGTGTCTTGGACCCCTGGGAAGGGTTAACAAGCTCCTTCTGTACAATGTAACTGACCACTAAACTGCTGAGCAGCTCAGCCGCTGACAGCTGTAGAGGTTTCCAGCTCATCTTTGATTTGCGTTTTGGCCCACACTTACAATGGAAGTGTGTGCTCTAGCAGAAGCTCCCAGATTTTCTTCCCAATCCCTACTGCGAGCGTGTCCGTGCTAGCCAGTGTGATGGGAACAGAATGTCAGCACCTACTTATGCAGGAATCCCGTTAACACAAACAAGCCTACTGCGAGCCTACTTCATTGGCCCAATCTTGAAACCATAGGCAGGGACTTTGCAGTGAAAACTCTACAGCTCCCAGAATTGTTCTGGCAGATTTCTGAATGATGGTCATAAAGACCTGAAGTATGACTGGGTGTATCAGTCTCATGTACAAACAGGTTCTCACAAGGAATGTGCATGGGCCAGTCCAAGGCAAACATGGAGTGCTTCGATGTGGCAATTTTCCTTATGGATACTATGTGAAACCTCATTACATACCCCATTCTCCAGCTAATTTGCCGACATTTCCAAAAATAATATTGGTAATAATAAATAATAATCGGTAGATAACACTACATACTGAAACACTGCATTGCATTCTGCACCCTGTCATATTATAATGCACACCTCCACCAGTACTAGAATCATCCAGGTTTTCCAGTCTTTCTGTGAAAGTGCATAAATGACAACCTACAGCATGACCATCTACATAAGGCCATGCATCTCACCATTGAACCT